GGTGGCGACTGTTCGAGGGGACACGGGAGGCCGTCACGTGTGACACCTCGAGTCTCAAGGCTTGGGAGAGCTGTGATGAGGATTATGAGTATTATGACGATGATGGGGTGACGACGCCGATGCTGCTGCTGCTGCTGCTGCTGATGATGATGATGATGATGATGATGATGATGATCATGATCATGATCATGCCGACGGCGGTGATGACGATGAAGATGGCAATGACGATGACGGTGGCCATGATGACGACGACGAACACGACGACGACGGCGACGACGATCATGATGATGATGATGATGATGATGATGATGATGATGATGATGAAGGTGGTTGTGGTGGTGGTGACGATGGTGGTGGTGGTGATGATGATACTGCTGATGGTGATGGTCATGGTTATTATGATGATGCTGATGATGGTGGTGCTGGTGGTGATGGTGGTGCTGATTATGGTGATGCTGATAATGATGCTGCTGCTGGTGGTTCTGCTGATGCTGCTGCTGCTGCGGCCGCCGTTGCTGCTGATGATGACAATGCTGATGCTGATGCTGCTGCTGATGATGCTGATGCTGCTGCTGATGCTGATGATGATGCTGATTCTGCCTTTGTTATTATTTTTGTTGTTGGTGATGCTGCTGCTGATGATGCTGATGCTGCTGCTGATGACGATGATCATGCTGATGCTGATGATTATGGACATGATGCTGATGATGCTGATGCTGATGCTGATGCTGCTGCTGATGCTAATGATACTGATTCTGATGATGATGATGACGACGACGATGATGATGATGAGGATGATGATGATTATGATGGTGATGATGAGGCCGATGCTGATGAGGATGATGCGGACGATGCTGATGATTATGCTGATGCTGCTGCTGATGATGATGCAGATGATGATTCTGATGATGCAGATGATGATGCTGATGATGCTGATTCTGATGATGCTGGTGATGATGACGATGATGCAGATGATGATGCTGATGATGATGCTGATGATGATGCTGCTGCTGATGATGATGATGATGCTCATGAGGATGCTGATGATAATGGTGATGACGATGATAATGAAGATGATAATGCTGATGATGCAGATGATGATGCTGATGATGCTGATGATGATGCTGGTGATGATGACGATGACGCTGATGATGCTGATGTCGCAGATGATGATGCTGATGATGATGCTGATGATGATGCTGATGCTGGTGATGATGACGATGATACAGATGATGATGTTGATGATGATGCTGATGCTGCTGATGATGTTGATGGTGATGATGCTGATGATGTTCATGATGATGTTCATGCTGTTCATGATGTTCATGATGATAAGGCTGATGGTGATAGTGATGGTGAGTATGATGATGATGATGATGATGATGATGATGATGAAGATGAAGATGGTGATGGTGGTGATCATGATGAAGCTGCTGCTGATGCTGCTGCTGATGATGATGATGGTGATGATGATGATGGTGATGATGATGCTGCTGCTGATGCTGATGCTGATGCTGATAATGGTGATGCTGATGATGATGCTGATGATGACGACGATGATGATGATGATGGTGATGATGATGATGATGTCAATGATGATGATGATGATGATGATGATGATGATGACGATGACGATGATGATGATGATGATGATGATGATGATGATGATGATGATGATGCTGATGCTGATGCTGATGCTGCTGCTTGCTGCTGCTGCTGCTGATGATGATGACGATGATGATGATGATGATGATGATGATGATGACGACGACGACGACGACGACGATGATGATGATGATGATGATGATGATGATGATGATGATGATGATGATGATGATGATGATGATGATGATGATGATGATGATGATGATGATGATGATGATGATGATGAGCGTTTGGGCCGTCTTTGAGCTGTCTTGGCCTCCTGTGAGGCAGTCTTGGGGGGTCCTTGGGGCCGTCTTGGGCCATCTTGGGGCCCTCTTGGCCGTATGGTGGGTGTGAGGGCCGTCGTGGAGCCGTCTTGACGCCCTCTTGGGCCGTCGAAGTGCCTTCTAAGGCCGTCTTGTGTCCCACGGGAGGTTCTCTTGGGCCGTCTTGTGGCCGCCTTGGATGTCTCTTGGGCCATCGTGGAGCACACTTCTTGAGCTGACGGCAGCCCGAAAAAGCAAGAATGCGGAAATCATTCAACAACCCTAGGGAAACCAATGATTTTGGCTTCTTCGGACACTGTTGGAGGTCCTCTTGTGGCCACATTGGGTCTTTTTGGAAGTATCTGGGGCCGTCTTGAACAAATATTCGGCCATCTTGGGGCCATCTTGGGTTGTCTTCGAGGCATATTGGGCCATCTCGGTGTCCTTGGTTGCCTGCACGGGCCGTCTTGGAAGCTCGGGGCGCACATCCATTATTTTTACAAGGGATCGTTGATTGGGAGGCCTTGGGATGTTTGGGAGCAGCGAATGGGGATGCGGGAAGTGCACGATCCTCGAGCGGGTGCGCGTGGGATGAGTGGCCTAGGGGTTAGCAGCCATGCAGGAAGTGCACAATCCTTGAGCGAGGGCGCATGAAGCGTGAGCGGGCACGATGGAAGTAGCCTCGGTGAGTAGGGGGGGCGCACGCAAGAGTCTGCGGATAGAGGGAAGGGCGGTCCCTCATTAGACTTCCAAAACACCCTGTCAGACAGACCTCGGCATTTGTCCACGCCTCAACGTGCCAGGGGTCGCGGTGGCGGATTTGCGCCCCCCGGGGTCCTTTTGGCATCGAGTGCCCCGGGTCGAGATCCAGGATCGAGGCGGAGGCGCCCCGCGGGAGGGGGGGGAGAGGCCGAGGCTGCCGAGGCCGTCGAGGCTCCTGGGCTCTGACGGGCCTTCCCTGCCTCCAGGATTCCGCCCCCTTGCGAGTCGGGAACTTTTGGCTTGGCGTGTCGCTTCGCTGGCGCCCCGCTGCGGTCCCTGCTGCGTGAGCGCAGTAGTTCCTGACCCTCCTCCCGCGGCCGCTCCTCTCTTCCCCGTCTCCCCCTCCTGCATCCGGACAAGCCGCAATGCCGCCACCCAGCTTGCCCGAGCGCGCGTGCGGACTGCCTCTGCCGCGCTGCGGCGTGAAAAGCCGCTCCGCCGGCCCTCCTCGACGCGTCGCCGCTCCGGCGCCGCCCGCCTCCGGCGCCGCTCCGGCGCCCCCCCGTGCCCAATATTCGCCGCGGCAGCGCCCGGCAGCCGCCCGAGCGCTATGCGTGGATCTCCGGCGGCCGCGGACCTAAGTCGCTCCGCCGGTTCTGGCCCACCGGGCTTCTCCGCCACAAGAGCATACACACGGACACCCTCTCATGGCTTGCTCATAGGCCTCATGGGAGCGTTGCGGTGGGGAGGGTTGCGGTCTATAAGTCACCAGTGGTAGCCAACAAATCTGTATACCGCATCCCTCCCTGAAGCTACATGCAACGTTCGTCGGAGGGTGTCTGTGTATATATTGTAGCGGCGTAGCGTCGGTCGGGACTCGAGAGGCGGGGGTCCGTGCAAACGGGTGCCAGTCAGAGTGCCGGATCTGGCAGGCATCCTGCAGAGCCGGGGCTGCACCGATCCTGGCATGGGCGCAGGATCCTGCAGGAGCCTGCAGGGCCTCACTGGCCCGGGTCTGGACCGACCCGGGTCAGTAGACCCCCGACCGGGTGCCGCCGTGGGGGCAGGCCGAGCAGCTGTTCCCGACCGTAGATTGGAATCCGCTGCCCCTCTGTTATGGGGCCGTTGTATAAGAGAGGGAACAGAGGACAGAGTGTTTACACATTTTGAGGAATTAGTGAATTCAGTATGGGTCCAGCTTGAAGTGCCTCGAAGGAAGCGTGCGCACCCGAATCGCAGGCATAGGGCTATATGGGGACCCGGGACAGTTTGCTTCCCGCAGACCCGGTCCGTAGATGCTGTTGAACGCGCAGAGTGTCTGCTTGTTCCTGCGTCGTTTTGGAGACCGGCGTTGTTCGTCTTGGGCGCCTATGCGGTCACGTTTTCGAGTCCAGGGCCGGCCTGTGACCCAACTCCCCTTTCTGTTTTAGTTTTGAGCGCATCTTCAGTGCGCTCTCAGACATCACAATGCCGCCTGCCTGACGCCCACTTTCTGGGGTGCCGTCCCCAGAAATTGGTTATCCGCGCGCGCGCGGGCGCATTGCCTTGGATCGCGCCTCGGAGCCCACGTCGAAATTTCAAGCTGGATCGGAAAACAGCTGTATCATCAGCAGCAGCTTCATGAGTGGTGAGCAGCGGCGGTATGAACGGCAGCAGTGCGCAAAAGTGCACCCCCCCGCCCCGCCCCCCCCGCCCAGGGTCCATTTCGATCCGACCAGTCCGATTCGATGTCGGTTTTGGCCAGCCTGATCCGATTCGGTGTCCTTACTCTAAAGATCCGACGCAGTCGGGTGCTTCGCATGGCGGCATGGCGCTGTCCTGCACCTATCCGCAGCTGGAGGAGCCCATCCGATTCCGACTCCTGTGCCGATGCAGCCCGATTCGACGACGATGCCGGTTCGATCCGACTTCCCGCCTCGGTGCTGACGGATCCTTCAGCGGCGAAGTCCGATCCCCCACCCTCGCCGATCAACGATTCAGGCCACCCCATGCGCGGCGGCGGCAGGCTCCAGAGCTCGCCGAACACGTGCGCCGTCCGAACCCTGGCCCCGCAGCCCATCGATTCAGGAGGCCCGATGCTGGGGGGGGCAGGTTTCGGACGTCGCGACCGACGGTGGGGGCGTTCGTTGAGGAATGTGCCCAGCCTCCTCCTCCTCCTCCTCCTCCTCCTCCTCCTCCTCCTCCTCCTCCTCCTCCTCCTCCTCCCCCTCCCCCTCCCCCTCCAGGGGGCCTTCAGGCCCCGGAGGATTCCTCGTCTGATGAGGTCGGCAGTGATTGCCATGGCCGATCCACGACTGGTGCTCCAGCAGCTTGCAGACCCTGGATTCCTTATCCAACGGTTCCTTCTCCAAGGCCCTCACCGTAATCCTCCCTCCCCCCCTCCCGGAGCCTCTCTGGTGCCCATCGCCCGCATCACGGCGGGCGCCGCGGCGGGACTCCTCCTGGCGGCCGTGTGGCGCGGGGACGGCTCCGTCGGCTTCACCGGGCCGCGGCTGCGCCAGCGGGCCTCCCGGGGGGCCCAACGAGAGCTCGGCGCGCCCGAAACAGGAACGGAGGTGAGGGATGCGAGGGCCGACAGCGTATCCCTGCTCTTCTCTTGGCGGGGACACGCGGTCGGTGCCGCCGCGGACGTTGCCCATTCGAGACGGGAGGCCGCCTGCCCCACGGCGGCCCCCTGTCGGTTCCTGGGCACCATGTGCTGCTGGGCATATCGCCGGTGGCACCGGCTCTCTCCGCACCAGGCACGGGCGTTTCCCCCAGAACGCGGGCGCGGCCAGCGTCTGCGGCGCCCACGAGGGGGTGGCGCGAGGGGAGGGGGGACTGTTCGTTTCTTGCCGCGGCCGCCGTTGCCGTCACCCCGGTGCCCCCCCCTTTGCATCCTGGCCTCCTCGGTCCATCCTTGGCCACTTTCGTGGGCCGCACGCCGCTCGAAAGGCTTCGAAACGGCCCTCCAAGGCCCTTGCGTCCTGAAGGCGCGTCCTCATGATATGTGTCGACTGCACCGTTGCTCCCCCCCCCTCGGCCGACCCCCCCCGTAACACGCGTTATTCCCAATGCATACGAGAGCGATTTCGTGGGTTTCCGAGAAGGCGGCGGGGCTTCCAAGAAGGCCCGGGGGGGCTTCACAGAACCCCGCCAGGCGTCCAGGACAACTTTTTAGAAGCCCCCCCCATAAGGGGCCCTCTACGGGGGCCCGTGCGCACTCTGAGAAGCCCCGCCGCCTTCTCAAAAGCCCACCCCCCATCGCGCCGCTTCCTTCTGGGGCGCTGCCCACAGAGCCTCCCCATTCCTCCCGAGGTCGGGGTGGCAAGCACCGGTTGCGGCCACGACGCTGAAGCAAGGACCGCCTCGGGCTCCGGAGGGGCTCTGGTATCCAGGCCGTTCGCTGGAATCCAGGTCGACGGGCCCCTTCGTGGCCGAGGCTCGCCGTGGCCAGACACGCCCCTTCGTTCCTCGTAGGCGCCGCGTGCCGTGGCGCGCTGGCTGCAAGGCGTGTGGGCGAGCGGCGGGTCCCGCTTCCAACTCCTGCGCGCTCGTCGTGCCCGTCCTTCGCGTCGTGCATGCAGGTCGCGCTGCTTCCTGCTTCCCACGTCGTGCCCCGCCCGTGCACGGGCCAACCTGCCGGTCTCACTGGGCCTCCCTGCCTGCCCGCTGCCGAGCGAGGTCGGCGCGCTCCGTCGCCCGGCGGGGCGGCCTGGGCCTCGTGCTCGGGGGGTGCTCTGCCCCAAGCCATGGTTTCAGTGCCCTCGCTGCAGAGTCGCGGAGCCGTAGCCCATCCTCTGGCGTGTGCCCCGACGCCTGGGGCATCGCTCGGACGTGTGCATTCTTTCTCGGCGGGGGCCATGGGGGGGGCTTTTGGGCCGTCTTGCGTGAAAGTGCACGCACGAAGCCGAAGTACGCATGGGAAACGGACGTCCGAGCGATGGCGAAGACAGGGCCTCCCCTCGCGTCGTGAAGCATCACGCAGGGAGGTCTTCGACCGTTTGTTTGGTCCGGGGGAGGGCTTCTCTGCCCCAGGGCCGTTGGGGACTCGGGACAAAAGGCCAACCCAGGGGATGGACTCGCTGGGATGCAATTCCTGGGAGGTTCATTTCTGAATCGGCGCTGGTACATCCCTGGTCGATAACTGCCCTAGTTTTGATCCAGCCCGCTTAATCCGGCCTCATTCCAGGCTTGATCCGGTCAACCCGCACGGTAAGGATGGGCAACTTTCCCAAGGGTGCCCTTGCATCCTTGCCCCTTCGGCCCATACTTAGCGACTTTCGCTGGCCAACCTGTTCGAAAAAGTCAACATCGCCTTCCAAGGCCCTTGCATCCTTGCCGCGCATCCTCATCATACGGGTTGATTGTAATCGCTCTGACGAAGGCCTCCCAAAAGTCGCCTCCTGAGGGTCGAGAGCTCGGGGGGTCTCATGTGGTGAGAAATCACGACGTCGGGGGACCGAGCTCGGGGCAGGAACGGGAGGGCGGGAGATCTAGGAGGAGGAATATGAGGAGGAGGAGGAGGAGGAGGAGGAGGAGGAGGAGGAGGAGGAGGAGGAGGAGGAGGAGGAAGAGCCGATATTTAGATGCCCCTTCCTCGCTTGCGCCCTTTTTGGCCTCTTCTCCTCTCGGGGGAGGCTTATCGTCGCCACGGCTGGATTTTGGCCCAGGCTCCCGGCCAGAACATACCCAGGGAGGGGCCCGGTGAGCAGCGGTATTTGATCCAGCAGTTTCCCTCAGATATCTGGCGCCGTTTTTTTTTCCAGTTCATTTTCCCCAGAAGGTTTCAACTTGGGGGCGCTGTTCGGTGCCTGGGGCCGTCAGAGACCGGCTCGGGATGAAAACAAAAGCGGTCAGGTGAGTGGCGAAATTTGCCCAGCCAATCTGACATGCGGAACACTGCGCCTCAGTTTTGGGGATCTTGAAGGCCAGGGTAAAATGTGAATTCACATTGTGGGGAAAAGCAGCAGGTGAATTCACATGTTGGGAAAAAGGAAAATCTGGATTCATATTTTGGAAAAAGGAAAATATGAATTCACATTTTTGAATTTTGGGTAGGATTCTTTATGAAGGGGCCAGAATGTGAATTCACATGTAGGGAAACTGTGAATTCACATTTTGGGAAAAGGAAACTGTGAATTCACATGTTGGGAGAAACGCGGGACCCATTTCAAATCTGTCTTGGGGGTCGAGAAGTCATCGTTTGGGAACATACGCGATCATGCCACACTTGCACTCCACTTCGCCGCTCCACACACAATATGCAAGAACGCCCGCACGCATGAACGATAATGGATGGACGGCGCGTGTGCCCGCGCGGGCAACGTGCGGGCACGAACGACTGGCCCTCAATGACCGCCAACATTGGATGCCAATCGTACCCGATCGCATACATGAGCGATACATTGAGCATACATGGGCCATTCAGCCCCCATTGAAGACACCCTGTTGCAGACCCCCTCTTTCACCCTCCAAGGAAAGGGTCGAGATTTCCAGTGACCCCGTATTGAAAAAGCACGCCATCAGAAGTCGTGGCCCCCTCCTCCAGGGAGGAGGCGGGTGAGGAAGAGGAGGGAGGAGGGCGGGTGATTGAGGGCTAATGGGGAGAAAGGGGAGATGGGGAGGAGTGACAGGTGGGAGGACACGTAGAAGGTGGAGAGAGGAGGGACCCGAGGGGAGGGAGGACCAAGGGAGGGAGTATGCATGATCGAGAAGGGATGAGGAGGATGAGGAGGAGCATTGTAAACCCAAGATGCATCAACGATGCCGCAGTGCCTCCCCGATCCCACGTTCACTTCTCATGAGTTCCCGCAATCCTTCCTTTTTGACAGCGAGGCGCGCCCCCCTTGAGAGACGAGCACCCTGCGCGGGCGATTCAGGCGAGAGCCCCGTTATGGAAAGGAGCTGCCTGGCATCCTTCCAGCGAGACGGAAGGACTACGAGAAGCGAGGGCCATTTTTTTTTTCTACAGAGTGACCTACAACAAAGCTTTTTGCATTCGTTGTAGGGTGGGGGGTAGTCCTTGGGATGTGGGGGGTGGGAAGCCGCCACGAAAGGAATCCCTTTTGTACTCCATCGCAAAAGGAATCTCGTTGTATTCCGCCACAAAAGGAATTCCTTTGTATTCCGCCACAAAAGGAATTCCTTTGTATTCCGCCACAAAAGGGATTCCTTTGTTTTCCGCCACGAAGGGAATCCCTTTGTATTCCGCCACGAAGGGAATCTCTTTGTATTCCGGCACAAAGGGAATCTCTTTGTATTCCGCCACAAAGGGAATTCTTTTGTATTCAACCACAAAGGGAATCCTATTGTAATTAATATAGATGCTGGAAACACTTTGTTTTCACAGAGATTCAGAGAATTGTAATAAAAAACAATGAAAAACAATTGGTTTCATCTGTGTTTTCACAGAGATTCATAGATTTTTCATTAAAAATATTGTTTTTTCATTGCCAAGCTCAGAGATTCAGAGATTTCAATGATTTTCAATTTTTATATATATATATATATATATATCTCTATCTCTCTCTCTCTCTCTCTCTCTCTATATATATATATATATATATATATATATATTATGAAAACGCTGTGAAAACACAGTTTTTTTTTTTTTTGTTATATAAAAATTTTTTTAATAAATAAATTGAACAACAAAGAAAACCTTGTGTTTTCACAGAGATTTTAAGACTTTTCCAGAAATGTATGAAATCTCTGTGAAAACATATGGTTTTCTGTCAAAAAGCAAAACAAACCTTGTGTTTTTCACATTGTTTTAGTATATTAATAAAGAAAACCATATGTTTTCATATAGATTTAATGCATTTCTGGGAAATTATTTAAATCTCTGTGAAAACACAAGTTTTTTTTTTTTTTTTTTTTTTTTTTTTTTTTTTTTTTTTTTTTTTTTTGCTAAAAAATCAAAGAAATCATATGTTTTCACAACGTTTTCATAAAAATCAATACCCATAGTTGGACAATCATTAAAATCTCTGAATCTCTGAGCTTGGCAATGGAAAAACAATATTTTTAATGAAAAATCTATGAATCTCTGTGAAAACACAAATGAAACCAATTTTTTTTTCATTGTTTTTATTGAAATTCTCTGAATCTCTGTGAAAACACAATGTTTCCAGCATCTATATTAATTACACTAGGATTCCCTTTGTGGCTGAATACAAAAGAATTCCCTTTGTGGCTGAATACAAAAGAATTCCTTTTGTGGCGGAATACAAAGGGATTCCCTTTGTGGCGGAATACAAAGGGATTCCCTTTGTGGCGGAATACAACAGATAATTTTCTTTGTGGCGGAATACAACAGCGATTCTCTTTGTGGCGGAATACAAAGAGATTCCTTTTGCGGCGGAATACAACGGGATTTCCTTTGCGGCGGAATACAAAGGAAATCCTTTTGCGGCGGAATGAAAAGAGATTCTTTTTGTGGCGGAATACAAAGGGACCCCTTTTGTGGCGGAATACAAAGGGTTTCCTTTTGTAGCGGAATACAAAGGAATTCCCTCTGTGGCGGAATACAAAGGGACCCCCTCTGTGGCGGAATACAGAAAGATATATTTTATAGCGGAATACAAAAGAATTCCCTGTGTGGTTGAATACAATTGAATTCCTTTTTGGGTGGATTTCAAGAGAATTTCTTTTTCCAGGAATAATAAAAATTCGCTTTGCCGCTCGCCGCTTCTCTCTTTCCTCTCTCTCTCTGTCTCTCTTTCTCTTTCTCTTTCTCTTTCTCTCTCTCTCGCTCTCTCTCTCTCTCTCTCTCTTACTACTACTACTACTACTACTACTACTACTACTACGACTACTACGACTACTACTACTACTACTACTACTACTACTACTACTACTACTACTACTACTATTACTACTACAACTATTACCACTTCTAAGAGCACCGCAGATCCTATGAGCACCACAGAGCCCACGAGCACTGGTGCATTATATTTTAACCCCGCAATACCTGCATCCACCACAGGTATTATGAGCACCGCGGAGACGGCGGAGGAGAGCGCAAAGCGCGGAAATCTCACTGATCAAAGGAAATGTCGTGCTATTTTCCTCGCGCTGGTTGTGCAGAGAAGCTGAGTGCGCGGTAGCTAGCAGCTACCCTAGGAGTGCTAGCGAGCAGCCAGCTTAGGGCGAGAGCGAGGAGGAGAGGGAGGAGAGACAACACTTGATGGCGAGCAGCCATCTTGAGACTCATAGCCGGTCCCCGTCTGGAGTGAGGAGAACAACCAAAGTGTTTTGAGGTACTTCAGAGACCGCAGTAATATTGTCCAGCATTGAATTTACTACGCATTGCAACCTCATCAAGAAGAATCCCATTCGCCGCCCATTCTCCCTTCCACCTCTGAGCGTACCACAGCTCTTCAACCAGACTTGAATCTGTCAGGGCGGCGCGTTTCATATAGCAACGTCTGTTTTTGTAAGTTGGAATATCTACGCGGCCGAAAAGACCGTTCGAACCAAGAATAGCAAGACTCTTGAACTCATTCCTGAATAGCTTAGAAGGTGTCCCACCAATCTGAGCAGTTGACCGGCCATCAACCGTGAAAGCCCGCATTACCGAATTTATGTTATCCACGCGGCCAATATGAGCATCTGCATATTTGTATGTAGGCCACTTATGCAAAGACGTTTCACTGACGATGCAATGCAAGTTGATATCTTTTGCAGTATTAACATTCAACTTGTTCTTCGCTGCGGTGGAAAGCAATCCACCATCCAATGCGTGTACCAAATCACTAATGGCATTTGACGTATGCAGAACCATACTGTCAATTGGAAGCCGAACAGATAATTGTTTCCATCCCTTCTCCTTGCTTGTGCGCACTACAATATCATTGAAATTGCCATCCAATGCGTCGTCTCCAGCAATTATCCATATATCTTTAATGTCATAAGTGTCCGAAACGAAACCCTTTGTCGGTTGAGGGGGTGGGATTATCGATTTTGGGTAATCCCTGACACTGAGATCATCGTCGTCTTCCTCATCCTCCCACCGCCTCTTCTTGCTAGTTAACGCTAAAGCTTTAGGCTTCGCTGTCCTCCGGGCTTCTGCATCGGTTGATATGTCCAAGGGCTTGCCATTTGAGCTGGTCTTGAGATCGCCAGAGTGGCTCCTGCCCCCTACCTGAGGCTCCCTGGGGCTCCTGAGATCCTTTCCCTTCTTTCTCCTTTTCCTTTTCCGTTCCTCCTCCTTCTCCTCCTCCTCCTCCTCCCCCTCCTCCTCCTCCTCACTGTTTTTCTCTCTCCCCCCTCTTCTCTCTCTTCCTCCCCCTCCCTTCTCCTCCTCCTTCCTCCCCTTCCCTTTTTCTTCTTTACCTCAAAGAGAGGGTGGACGACCCCCCACCCGACAACGAATATTTTCAGATTCGTTGTCACTCTCCCTCTTTTTCTACGACGTGTCCAACGAGGGCCCTCTGTTCGAAACGTACCCACCCACCCGTGCGTCCAATTTCATCTCTGTAGTGGTAGCAGACGTATACGACGAATTTCAGCGACTCTGAGGCGATCGCCTTATTTTGAAAAGGAGCCGCCCTGCATGTTGTCGCAAGATGTTGTGACGAATGTGCGCGGCGCTCAGGCGAGAGCCTCATTTTGACAAGGATCCGCCCTCCACCTTTGTGACCTCGGCACGCTTTCAGGACACATGTGCGCGGCGCTCGGGCGAGAGCCCCACTTGAAAAGGAGCCGCCGTCCATCGTTGTGGCTGACTTGTGTTTCATACTAATGTGCGCGGCTCTCGGGCGAGAGCCCCAGTTTTTTGAAAAGGGACCCCCTTCATCCTCGTAGCTGTTGCTAACATCGAATGTGCGGCGCTAAGGCGTCTTGAAAACTAGGGCGACAACATCTACACATCTCCGCTGCTCCCTGGCCAGGCCCGTCCTGAACCCCGCAGCGGTGTATACGCCACGCCCTCCTGGCCTGGCCGGGAGGGCGTATGCGCATCTCCTAGGCTCAAGAGGGGCCTGGACAGGGAGCAGCGGACATGTACATGTACAGCTCCAGCTCTCCTCGCCCTGGAAACGGCCCCTCCATCCGTGCAACTACTGCAGGCCTTTGACGCGAATGCGCGCAGCGCTCCCTTCGAGGACATGGGGGGACGAACAGTTACCACGAGGAGGAGACAGAGGAAGAGGAGGAGGAGGAGGAGGGAGGAGGAGGAGGGAGGAGGAGGAGGAGGGAGGAGGAGGAGGAGGAGGAGGAGGAGGAGGAGGAGGGGGAGGAGGAGTCCCCCTTCGAGGACGCCTCCCCCTCTCCACATGTGTGCAGCGCCCTGGGCATGGCCTCGCCCTCGAGGGTCGAAGGGCGTCGCCCGCTCCCTCGGCGGCGGAGGCCGGCGGAAGGGCGGCGGACGCCCGCGGAAGCAGAACGGTGCCGCCTCCGCCGGCGGAGGCCGGGGGGGAGGCCGGCGGAAGCCGGCGGAAGCGAGGGGTGCGCCCCCCAAGAAATGCAGTTTTTTACCAGCCTCGAGCGTATCCCTACCCCTAAGGTTGACACGCCGAAAGGCGATGACAATCTCAGGGGTTCGCCCTCAAAGAAGAAGGGGATCCCTAAGATTGGCATCGTGATGAGGAGGTGCCCAGCATAGGGATAGGGATATGATCCAGGCTGGTAGATTTTTGCGGGAATGCAGAGTTTCCGGGATGGGCCGTGTGGGGGAGAAGTCTCAGGCAAGAGGCCCCAACAGCCTTGCCAAACATGTCTGGGGGTGAGGCGGGGCGAAGCGAGCGACGATCAGGATCAGGGACGGAGGAGGAGGAGCTGGTGGAGGAGGAGGAGGAGGAGGAGGCGCAGAAGGAGGGAGGAGTGAGGGGGTGAAGGAGGGAGAGAGGAGTGGGGCGAGGGGAGGAGGAGGACGAGCGAGGAATTAGGAATCAGGAGGGAGGAGGAGCGAGGAGGAAGGCGGAAGGAGACGGGCGCACAGGGATGTGGGAGGCCGTTGTCTTCGCTCGGGCCAGATCGGGTTCCAGGCTCGCGCTGCGTCGCCGATGCGTCGACGGTGCATCGGCGACGTCGGGACGCAGATCTTCGGGTCCGACCCACGTTGCTCCCATTGGGGGGCCACATGCGAACCCTACCCCTACCCCCCACGATTTCGAAGGGGGAGGGTGGGGTTCACTTCGCTCGGGAGCTCCCGAACGAAGTGAACCCCACCCTCCCGCTCAGAAATCGTGGGGGGTAGGGGTAGGGTTCGCATGTGGCCCCCCACCCATGCATTGCTGTTGTCCAGTGCGCAATCTCTGGTGTTCTCGATTTCTCCTGGGGGACCAGCACTTCGTCCCCGATCGTTTTGTGACTGCCCTTGAGCCGAGGACGTGCGAACATTGAGCAAGGCACGTGGATTGGCGGCTGGTCCCGCTTCCATGAAAGTCGGGTGTTCTCGGCTTCTCCCGGCGGACCAGCACTGCGTCCTGGATCGTTTTGTGATTGCCCTTGAGTCAAGGACGTGCTAGCATGGATTAAGGCGCGTGGATTAGCGGCTGGTCCCGCTTCCATGCAACATCGGGGCGGTCAGTCGCCGAATCGGGCGGGTTTGGCCTCATGTTCCGGGGGATGCCTTTCTGATCCTTGGACCTGGCGTCCACCCGCCAGATGCACATATCCATATTCAGGCGGGCGCCTGATCGAGCCCTAACGCGGTCTTCAGAGATGGAAGTTCCAGGTCACCCACAGGGGCGCGAATCGCGGAGATCGGTGACCCAGGAAACTGTCGAGCAAAATGTCCAATCTCGAAGACCTGAGGGGTCTTGGTCGAGGGTTTCGAATTCGACGCCCGGAGCTGCCCTGGGGCGCGTCACAGCCAGGACCTCGAGGTCGATCTGGCCGCAGCGACGAGGAGCTCCCCAGGAGTTGAGGAAGGGAGGCGTATGCCCCAGCATGAGATCCCGAGGTTTAAGTCGGGCATGTCCCTCTACAGGAGGAACGTTCAAACATGCTAGAAAATTTGTCGGGGGACGATTTTTCCAATATTCTTGACTATTTGGGAGGTTTTTGTTGATGACTATTTTTCACTGTTCTGCCAACATCCGCCTGTAGGAGATCTAACCCAAGCATCAAACCCCAAGATCCGAGGTCCCAGAGGAGATCTGGGCTCTCGGATGGTGGGGGGGCGCGTGAGGGGGGGGCGATGTCTGGGGGGGCAGCGGGGGATGCCGAGCCGAGAAGGGGCCCTGCAGGGCCCCCACAGGGGCCCTTTAGGGCCCCAGAGGGGGCCTTTAGGGAGCGAGAAGGACACCTGTCTTCCGGCCCCCCCCTCCCTTTCTCGCCTCCCACTAGTTCACGCCCGGGGATGCGTCGCGACAACGGCGACGATTTCGCCCCCCCCCCCCCCCCTCCGCAGGCCGTTGCGACGGCCCTGGCCGCCGAAGTGAGGAGCTCGCCACTGCTGGCGGACCTGCTGGCGTTCGCTGCCTCGGAGTCTGACGAGGGCAAGGCCCCATCAACGTCGTCGTCGTCGTCGTCGTCGTCGTCGTCGTCGTCGTCGTCGTCGTCCTCGTCGTCGTCGTCGTCGTCGTCGTCGTCGTCATCGTCGTCGTTGTCGTCGTCGTCGGCCCCCTCGTCCTCGTCATCGTGGTCGTCGTCGTCGTCGTCGTCGTCGAGGTTGTCTTCGTCGTCGAGGGTCGGGTCAAGGATAAAGTTTCTTCTTTGTTGTTCGATGTTTTTTTGGGGTCTCCAGAGGCCACCCCCCTGGGACAGGAGACCTCTCGGGACCTGCGGACGTCATCCTGCCGTCGTTGTGGGCCCCCAGAGCTCTAAAAATACCTCTCCAACTTCAAGAGCCTCGGTCCTCGATCCTAATAAACCTCTATCTTCGATCTCCGATCGACGATCGACGACAGCGACGACGACGATGACGACGACGCGTGAGACGATGAAGACACATAATGCGACGACGTCGACTTCTGGAGGTACCCAGAGCTTCCAGGAGGCTTCTGAGGGCCTCGGATGCCTGCAGAGGTCCTCTGGAGGGCTCCGGATGACGCCCCCAGAGGCCTTCAGAGGGCCCGAGACGGCGAGCTTTCAAAAGCCTCGATCCTCGATCCTGGATGATCTCGATCCTCGATCCTCGACGACGATGACTAAAACTCCGATCACCACGGCACCGAGGTGACGCCTTGTGGCGTTCTCGTCGACGACGCCGATCCTCGATCCTTGGCGACGACGCCGAGGGGACTTCTACGGTGAGCCCCGATCGTCGATCCCCGACGACGACGAGTCGTCCTGCGGTTGCGACGACGCCGAGGGGACCCCCGGTGGCGCTCTCGACGACGACGAAGATGACGACCCCCGATCCTGGACGGCGACAGCGACGCCGATGACGCCGAGGGGACCTCGACGGTGAACCCCGAGCCTCGATCCCGGGCGACGGCAGCGCCGAGGGGGCGCCCGATGGCGCTCTCCCGCGCTCGAGGTCGCTGCCCGCGTGGACGGGGACTTTGGCGGCCTCGCGCCCGAGGACCCGGGTGCCGCCCCGTCGGGGGGGGGGGCCAGGGGGTGTGCCCCGAGGTCTGGAGGGTCGGAGGGGTCGCGGGAAGCGCAGACGCGGATTATCCAGGTCGCCCAGATGGGGTCCAAGCAGATGTGTGCTTGGTGGATCGCGCCGCATCGCCGATGCATCGGCGATGCGGCTCGATGCGGAGCCCGATTGTCTCCACTCTGGTGTCGCCGATGCACCGCCGTCGTCGCCGATGCATCGTCGATGCATCGCCGATACATCGTCGACGCATCGGCGATGCGGCGCGATCCTCCGACCCCACCTGCTCGGACCCCATCTGGGAGGCCTCTATGCTAGGCGCGTGGATTAGCGACGGGTTTCGTTTCCATACAAATCCGGCGCGCTCCGTCCCTCAGTCGGGCGGCATGGGCGCCATCTTTCGCCCCCCATCCGTGGATCTGGCGCCCACGCGCCAGGTCCACATGCCCCTCATGCATGCCAGCGTGCGCCCGAGTTACAAGAAGAGTGGTGACGCAGAGCGACAGCAGATCCTGCCCATTTGAGCAGGACTCGCTGTCGGCGTCGTCCCCTGACGTGGTGCAGTGTGAGACGAACGTCGCCTGCCCAACAGCGGCCGCTGTCTCCTCCTCCTCCTCTTCCTCCTCCTCCTCCTCCTTCTCCTCCTCCTCCTCCTCCTCCTCCTCCTTCGCCTCCTCCTCCGTCTCCTCCTCCCCCCCCTCCTCCTCCTCACTGCGCCACATGGTTTTCCCTCTCTAAAAGAATATCGACTTTCCCCGCCACCAGAATTCACGACCCTCTCCGGGACACTGCATTCTACAGATGATGCTGCCCCACCATGTGAACTGTGAACCCATGTCATCCCACCCCAACTGGTTCTGACCCCCCTCCTCCTCCTCCTCCTCCTCCTCCTCCTCCTCCTCCTCCTCCAAAGCTATCGAGCCCTAGGTACGGAGGACCCCGAGGAGCCGAGGATACTCCAACTCGTGCCTCGAGGCACGGTGGCGGATGTCTCTGGCCGCGTCTCATCTTGAGACTGCTCATCTCGGGCCGGAGGAAAGGGGGGATTGGGAAAGGGGGGGTTACGAAATTTGCTGCATGCAGCTGGTTTCGGCCTCACCGAGGGGCCCATTCCTCGATACGTAGCCGCCTCCGGCGCCGGGAGGCGCCTACCCTCTTGCTGGCAGCAGTGCAGTCGGACAGTGCTAGGACGAGGGTGAATCCGTTCCAGAGCGTTCCCGAACGCTCTCATAGCGTTCTGGAACGCTCTGCGAAGGCCGCGGCGCCCGAGACATATTCCAGAGCCGCCGTATCTCAGAGATTCTCGATTTATCCTCACCCGATTTTGTCCTCGTCTTAGCTTGGCCTTATGCAGGGATCACTCCGCCACCTCGGTCTAGGTTGTTGTCCAGCGGCTACCCTGGCACATTTTATGAATTCGTGGCCTAACTGAGGTCCATGGTTTTTAAGGATCTCCCTAAGCATATCGGTGGCTTCGTTTGACACATCTGAGAAACGGATCATCTATCCCTAGTGTTTTCGCCCCTCCTACCTTGGGTCCCTCCCAAAGGATGAACGGTACTTTCCTTGCTTATCATTTTGCCTTCATTTCGGCCTCTGGGGGGGCCGCTTTCGGGTCCCGGGAGAATGATCGATGGGTCTGGGACGCAAAATTCTCCCAGGGAAGGGCCCAGGAGTCCTGGCGAGGAACGAACAGCACACACCCATACCCATCGGGGGGGACGGACGGGGCTATGGGTGCGTGCTGTCAGAGGGGTGTTCCCGCTCGAACGGGAGCCTTCCCATGGGGCCCGACAACCCGCGCCCTGCCCATAGCCAGTCCTCCTCCCTCCGACCTCCCTCTGGCTGTGAGCGTGTGTGCCTGTGTGTGTTGTTCGTTCGCCGTGCTGGGGCCGCGGGGCGGAACAAATCATGCCGCGGGATGTCCGTGTGCGGGGAGCGGGCCGGCGCTCCCGGCGTGGAGAGGACCTCACCTCGCTGCAGGCGCAGCTGGCCACGGCCCCGGATGAGGCGGCCAGGAAGCCGATGGAGGCCCTCACCAAGGGCATCCAGGCCCGGACGGGCCAGCACCCTGGAGGATCGAGGATCCAGGAGGATCGATCGGGGGGGCCGATTTGGATCGAGGATCGAGCAGGATCGATCGAGGAGGATCGAGGATCGAGGAGGAGGATCGAGGATCGAGGAGGAGGATCGAGCAGGATCGGTCGAGGAGGATCGAGGATCGAGGGTCGATGGGGACCGATCGAGGAGGATCGAGGGCCTCCTCGATTCTCGAGGCGCCGAGGCGCCCGCGGATCCTCCTCGAGTTGCTCTCTCTCTCTCTCTCTCGGAGGAGGAGGAGGAGGAGGAGGATGAGGATGAGGAGGAGGAGGAGGAGGAGGAGGAGGAGGAGGAGGAGGAGGAGGATGAGGATGAGGATGAGGATGAGGAGGATGAGGATGAAGATGAGCAGGATGAGGATGAGGATGAGGATGAGGATGAGGATGGGGATGAGGACGAGGATGAGGATGAGGAGGATGAAAATGAGGATGAGGACGAGGACGAGGATGGTGATGATGATGATGCTGATGATGATGATGATGATGATGATGATGACGATGATGATAATGATGATGATGATAATGATGATGATGATGATGACGATGATTACGATGATGACGATGACGATGACGATGACGATGATGATGACGATGACAATGATGATGATGACGATGATGATGATGGTGATGATGATGATGAGGAGGAGGAGGAGGAGGAGGAGGATGGTGATGATAATGATGATGAGGATGGATGAGGATGAGGATGAGGACGAGGATGAGGAGGAGGAGGAGGAGGAGGAGGAGGAGGAGCTTGACCCATGCCGCAAGGATGCAGTGCGTCAGGCCACATCGTAACCTGGACACACGTCATTCTGTGGTGTGTGTACGAAGTAGGAGCAACACGTCTGGAGAGATCAAAGGGCACCGATACCGCTACTCACCTGACCTTTCCCGGGGTGAGTTCTGACCAGAAAGGCGAATCCAGCCGTGGTAACGAGATCCCCCGGGAGGCCCGAACAGGGGAAAACGAGGGAAGGGTAGCGTTACCGTCACCTTTCCACCCGTCTGAACGTCGGGGTGTATTATGGATAGATGCATGCCACTTCTGGACGCGTGCTGCGTATGCGCCAGCAGCAGGCCAGCATCCCGAAAGGCGGGGAGCCTTTGGCAGGGGGCCCAGGCACTCCCCACGCCCACAGCAGGAGCCAGACGACCCAGAGCTCGAGCCCAGCGATGCAGGGCCACCTCCTCCTCCTTCTCCTCCTCCTGACGCTTCCCATGCATAATTTTGCCAATTTCTTCCATGCTGTCGCCTCGGCGCCCTCTCCACGGCGCCTTCATGGCGCCACTCGGAGTCCGAGTCCGAGTCCAAGCGACGCAGGGCCACCTACCAGTCTGCTGCACGTTAGCATTGTCCTTTGCCGGAGTGAGCCCCGTCATGCAGGCCGCCGCTTGCGCATCGTGTGCAGCCATCGGCAAGTCGTGCGCACCAAAAGTCACTCTTGCCTAGGATCGATCACCCTTGCGTGTAGCTGAAACAAACGGTGGCTGCCCGGTATGAAAACTCCTCCGGGCGACGAGATCTGTACGTATCCATTGCGTCCTGGCCAGGCCGGTCCTGAACCCAGGAGCTGTGTATACGCCCTCCTGGCCCAGCCAGGAGGGTGTGGAATCTGCACCTCTGCTGGGTTCAGGATGGGCCTGGCCAGGGAGGAGTGGATATGTATAGATTTCGTCTCCCTATTCCGTCATCGAGGATAAAAGGACACGCAACCCGAGTAAGACGATGAAGACGTCGCCTCACTGAGGTCCCCGTCCTTGCCTTGGGGATGATGGCTCTGGGCGGTTTGGCTTGATACATCTGCAGAACAGATACCCATGTCCCTACAGTGCTGTTTTTGAATGCATACTCCGCGTGCGGATCATGTATTGAACATGCAGGGATTTGTATCAAAAACAACGATGCGTTCGTGCATACATTTACTCATACATTAATCATGCATGAGAACAATCCAATATTTTTCAAACATCCTATGTGTATCAAAAACTGCCCTGTCATGTTTTTGGCCCTCCTGATAACTTAGGTCCCCCCCTGAAGGATGAGGGGCCCTTCTCCTGCCACTCATTCCAGGCCGCACGGCGGAAAGCACCGCCCTTCTGGGCGAGCGATGATCGTCGGAGCGGACGCTCTCGGCACCACGGGCGCTCCCGCCGAGGCGCGCAGCGCCTCTGGCACGCGGGGGGGGGGGGCCAGCGGCGCGGGCTCCCGGCGCCCGCGGAGGCGCCGGGCCTGCTGGAGGAGGAGGAGGAGCAGGAGGAGGGGGAGGAGGAGGAGGAGGGGGAGGGGGAGGAGGAGGAGGAGGAGGAGGAGGAGGAGGAGGAGGAGGAGGAGGAGGAGGCGCGAGGAGTGAGGTCTGGACGCCCGAAGCGAGGGGGGGCGCGGCCGGAGGGCCGGGGGGCGGGCCCGGCCCGCGCGGGCGAGGGCCGCCGGGGAGCGGGAGACACCGAAGGGGTGCACTGTCAGTAGGAGGAGGCCCCGAGGCGGGAGGGCCGGGGAGAAAAGGCAAGGAGTCTGGACGCCCGAAGTGGGTGCGGAAAGAATGGGTACGATGCCCAACAGCAGTTCCTGTCCATTTGGGACAGGATTCGCTGTCCACGCCGCCGCGGCCTGTGTCCATGCGAGACAGAAGGCCGCCTGCCCAACAGCGGCCGCTGTTGGTTTGGGACAACAGTTGTTGTTGGGCATTGTACCCATTCTTTCCGGACCCATTTCGGGCGTCCAAGAGGCGGTGGAGAAGGGGACGGGAGTGGGGGTGGTGGTGGTCGTGGTTCTGGTGGCCATCATGCTGATGCTGATGCTGGTGACGAGGATGATGCTGATGATGAGGATGAGGATGAGGATGAGGATGCAGATGATGATGACGATGACGATGTTGATGGTGAAGAAAAGTAATATGAAGAATGAAGATGAAGATTAAGGTGAGGCTGAATATGATGATGAACATGATGATGATGATGGTGATGCTGATGATGATGACCATGATGATGATGAACATGGTCCATGGTGACCGTGGTGGTGCTGGTGATGATGATTAGGTTGATGATGATGCTGCCGCTGTTGCTGGTGCTGATGCTGCTGCCGATGCTGCTGATGGTGGTTGTGGTGATGATGCTGATGCTGATGCTGATGCTGATGCTGGTGCTGCTCCTGATGCTGCTGCTGATGATGATGATTCCAATCATGCGGTCGGTGGCGATGATACCGATACATCACAACGAAGATGATGATAATGATGATCATGACGGTGATGATAATGATGATGCTGATGAAGAAGAAGATGACGATAATCATGATGATGCTGCTGATGATCATGCTGATGAAGCTGGTGTTGGCGGTGATACTGGTGATGATGATTAGGTAAATGATGCTGCCGCTGCTGCTGATGCTAATGCTGCTGCCGATGATGATGGTGGTGGTGATGATGCTGATGCTGTTTCTGCTGCTGATGATGATGATTCGAATAATGCTGAGGAGGCGGTGATGATGATCATGATGATGAGGATGATGATGCTGATGATGATGGTGATGCTAATGCTGCTGATGATGATAATGCTGATAATGATGCCGATGATGCTGCTGATGATGCTTATGATGATGACGATGATGACGACGATGCTGCTGCTGATGATGTTGATTCTGATGATGATGCTGATGCTGATGAACAACTTGAGAATGGTCATGGTGAGACAGCTCATGATGCTGATTATGATGACCACGATGATGATGATGACGTTGCTGTTGTTACTGTCGTTGTCGATGATGGTGGTGATGCTCATGATGATGACAATGACGATGACGATTATGATGATGGTGATGCTGATGATGCTGATGATGCTTATGATGATGCTTCTGCTGCTGCTGCTGATGCTGATGATGATGATGATGCTGCTGATGATGATGATGATGATGCTGCTGCTGCTGCTGCTGATGATGATGATGATGATGATGATGATATGGATCATGCTGCTGACGACGACGATGACGATGCTGCTGATGATGTGACAATGATGCTGATGATGGTGGTGATGCTGCTGATGATGCTGCTGATGATGGTGCTGATGCTTATTCTGATGCTGATGCTGATGATGATGATGATGATGATACTGATGCTGCTGCTGATGATGATGATGATGCTGATGCTGATGATGATGCTGATGATGCTGCTGCTGCTGCTGCTGATGATGATGATGATGATGATGATGATGATGATGATGATGATGATGATGATGATGATGATGATGCTGCTGCTGCTGATGATGATGATGATGATGATGATGATGATGATGAGGAACAGGAGCTATCAACATACGATCCGATGCTAGTCGTTCGGGGGGCTGGCTTTCGGCAGGCTGCCATGGAGAAGCGCATGCAGAGCGCTACCAAGGATATTTCAGAGTTGCTGTCCAGCAGCGGGGACATCAACCAAAACATAAAGGACTGTTTGTCCAGGCATGGCATTCCTCTGACAATCATGATTGTCATTGTCATCCTGCACCTCCAGCGTTCTTCTCCTCCTTGTCTTCGCCATCTTCCACACTCCTCCTGCTTCCTCCGCCTTCTCCTCATGACTCAAAGTCGTCCTCCTCTTAACTGTCCCAAAATCCTCTGCGCTTGTTTCTCGTTTGCATCATCCTTCTCGTCCTTCCCATCCTTCCTCCTCCCGCCCTTCCTTCTCCAGGCAGGATAGTCCGTTGCCCATCATGACCGTCCTGCAGATGAACCTTGCCAAGGCAGAGAAGGGGTCCCAGCAAGAGAAAGCGCTCAGCTACATCTTCAACGTCATGAACCAGGAACTGGCCAGCAGATGACAGAGGGGTTTGGGCCTGCCCCTTTCTTTTGGAGGTCTCGGATGGTTTCTGGAGGTCTGCGGATGGCGCCAGAGCCCCCTGGAGGCTTCTGGGCAAAGAGCTGCGACAACCTCGTTCCTTGGTTCCACAAGTCTCGTCACAAGCAGCGAGACAACATCGAATACGCGTCGCGAGGAGTTTGTCCCTCCGCAGCGTTGTGAGGCATTGCCCACCGCACTTCGCGGCAAGGGGTCCGGCGTTGGTAGACCGAGGGGCGAGAAGTGGCGAGTGCTCTCGCGCGATCGCGTCGGAAGTACAGATCAGCGAACACTGCGTGATCGGAAGTCGCCCCGCCCTTGTTTCCCAGCAGCCCATCGTCATAGCGCCATTCAGATCGCGAGCAAGCCTCCTCACAGTTTTCTGGGGCAAAAAGTGGCCGCCCAACGATGGCACATCGCCAAACGCCCACCGGCTGGGCCGCTATGATTGCGACGAGTCCTGCAGAACCTCGAGGGAGGAGGATGAGGAGGAGATTGGGGATAAGAGAAAAGAGCAGGAGGACAGGTACTCTCTGAGCGCCTCCACCGCTCGACATCTGTTTTGACAGGATCGAGGAGCTCTCTCCCCTTCTTCCTTTGATGCGTGCGCAGGGTGTGCAGCCAGGAGGAGGAGGTGGAGGAGGAGGAGAAGGAGGAGGAGGAGGAGGAGGGTGAAAGGAGGTGGAGGAACAGGAGGAGGAGGAGGAACAGGAGGAGGATGATGAGAAGAAGGAGAAGGGTGAGCAGGAGGAACAGGAGGAGGAGGAGGAAGAGGAGAAAGGAGGAGGAGGAGCAGTAGGAGGAGGATGTGGATCAATACTAAGAACAACACTAATAATAGTACTAATAGTGACAAAGATGTTACTACCATTAATTTTGGTAATGCTAAGCATCCTATAATTAAGAACAAACTTGCTACTACATTTGCTACTTAGAAACTATTGATAGCACGAAAAGAAGAAGAGCGGTCTCGGTGTGTGTGTGTGTGCCTGGTGCGGACGGGCCGCCTCGCCCCCGCCGTCGCCGCCTCGCGCGGCGCCCTCGCCGTCGCCGCCTCAGGAGGAGGAGGAGGAGGAGGAGGAGGAGGAGGAGGAGGAAGGAGGACCGATGACCGATGACTGGTGAGGGGGAGGCGGGGGAGTAGGAGGAGGAGGAGGAGGAGGAGGAGGAGGAGGAGGAGGACGCCGATGAAGGACGACGGGGACGACAAGGACGACGATGAGGAGGGTGACGACGACAACGAATAGGATGACGAGGACGACGACGAGACAACATCTTTTCTGGGAAGTCGTTGTGTCGGGGGTCGGCGGATGTCGTGGGGCTGGCCCAGAGGAGCTGCAGAAGAAGGTGCCCACTGTGCTGAAGGTGCTCTCAGCCCTCTCCCTCCGTGTCGTCGTCGTTGTGCTTCTCCTCTTCCTTAGCCTCCATCTTCCCTGTCCTTCTCACTGCGTTCGGCAAATGTCAGCGACGGGGCTGTCGCGTCCATCAACAATCCGAACTCTTACAGGGACTGACGCAACACAAACCCGAGAGGAAGAGTTCGAGAGGATAAAAGCGCGATGTGCGGCAGTAGTGCAGAAAAGAACGTTGAACAGGCGAGAGAAGCTGGATAAGTAGAGCGAAAATCAAGAATAAGCACAATGTCGAGGACCTGACCCACCCACCCTGCATCACATTCTCCACCCACCCACCCACCCAATGTTCAAGGAACCTCACCGAGGGCAAGCTCCAGAGCCTATGACACGATGCTCTGCTGAAACGGCGCTGGGGTTACTTGGCACATGCCGCCGGCGGCTAACCCGAAGCTGCTGAAGACCCGATGTCTGCTCCCATCGGAGATCTTGCTGACACTCCTCCCCCACCAGCCCTACCCCTCTCTGTCAATTCCTCTTCCTCCTGGCGCCAGCCTAAACTTGGGAGGTGCGCGCGCTGGGCTGCCCGCTCAAAGGTGGGCGGCCTGAACTTTGCGAGGTTGGCGGCCCAAACTTGGGAGAGTGGCGGCCTAAACTCCCCCCCAATCCCACCACCTCCACCTCCTCCTCCCCCCCCTTCACCTGGCGCCGACTTAAACTTGGGAGGTACGCGCACTAAACTGTGCGCTCAAAGGTGGGCGGCCCGAACCTGCGAGACTGGTGGCCTAAATTCGGGAGATGCGCGGCCTGAATTTCCTCGACATCTCTGTCGACTCCTCTTCTTCTTCCTCCTCCTCCTGGCGCCAGCCTAAACCTGGGAGGTGTGCGCACTAAGCTGAGCGTTCAAAAGTGGGCGGCGTGAAGGTGTGAACTGGCGAGATTGGTGGCCTAAACTTGGGAGATTGGCGGCCTGAACTTCCTCCACATCTCTGTCCACCACTACCTCTTCTACGTGACATGGTTAGCTCTCGCGGAGGGTCTAGAAGCTGCAGGGCCAATTCTACAATGCCCTGCCAAGTTAGCGCGGCCGCATACATTTTGGAGATTGGCGGCCCGACCTGCATTCCAGCACGTCTAATCGAACCTCCACCACTTCCTCCTCCATACTTCTCTCACAGAGGGTCCTAGGCAGGTCAAGCTCATGCTTGGGTCTGCTGCTGGCGGTCGATACGCTCTACTGTAAACTTACTGGTCGACACGCTCCCCCTTGTCCTCCTCCTCCTTCTTCTGCTTCTTCTTTACGCCTCGTCTCTCTCCTTTGCTTCCTCTATCTCCTCCTCCTCGTCCTCCTCCTCCTCTTCATCATTCCCGTTCTCATCTCCTACTCGACCCCTTCTCCTTCCCCCTCCTCCCTCCTTCACCGTCTGTCCCCCCCCCAGACTCCTCGCGTCGTCAAGCACCACCGCAGCAGATTTTGATCACTTTCCGGTTCTGGATGCCCTGACTTGGCTCGAGGGTACTAGCTAAAGGAACGATCCAGAATGAAAAAAAAACAGCCCCCCTAGATGGGGTTGGGAACTCTGGAACGACGACCTTGGAGCTCTGGATCCGTACCTCCTCCTTCCACCCTCCCTCCGCTTCGAAGTGTGGACCCTGCCACCCTCGGAGACCTCTCCCCCCCTGCCCCTCTTCTCGCCTGCCCGTGCCGTGGCTTGGCATCGCTCGGACGTGTGCATTTTTCCTTCGGCGAGGACCATCGAGGAGCATCCTTGATCACTTGGCGAAAAAACCACGCACGAAACCGAACAAAGCACAGGAAATGGACGTCCGAGCGATGGCGAGGTGGCCGTTTGGGCCCGTGTCGAGACTCAGCCCTCGCGCGAGGCGCCGCGCGCCACTGGCTCGGCCAGGCCACTCGGGGCAAGAGGCCTCGTGCCGGCTCACGCTGGCCTGGAGAGACGTACCATCGGCAGCCTCGAGGCGGGGGTCAGTGCAAACGGGGGTCAGCCAGGACGCCGGATCCTGCAGGATCCTGCGAAGACCCCCTCTGGCTGACCGGGGTTAGCGAGCCGCTCGTGGCCGCGAGGCGGCCGCGCGTGTTGGCTGACCCGGGTCTGCGAAGACCTGCGTTGCAGTTTTTTTTCCTGCATTGCAGTTTTTGGTTCCCTGCTGACCCGGGTCTGGATTGACCCGGGTCAGAAGATCCCCGATACCAGCCGTTTCTTTCCTCCCCCCCTCTCTAGAAGTCTCTGCCGGCAAGGAGTGCACACGTCTGATGCTGGGCTGTCTCTGGCGCCTCCAGGGGCTGCTGCACGCCTGCGGTCGGCGTCCCCCAACATACTGGTTCCATGTGTGCGTCGCCCCGCCCCCCCCCCCTCTCTTCCCCCCAGGGACGACAAGCACTCCAGAAATTTTAGTATACCTATACGACCGCCCTTCGGGTGATAAGGAGGTTCGGGGGGGAGGGGCCAACGTCTCACTCAATCGATCTCGCCATCGATCTGACTATCGATCTCACTTTCAGACTCACTATCGATTTCATTATCGATCTTACCATCGATCCCACTATCGATCTCGATGTCGATCTCTACTATCAATCTTCACTATCGATCTCACTGTCGGTCTCACTGTCGATACCACTATCGATCTCACAATCGATCTCACTACAGGACACCGACGGGACAGCGACAGGACACCGCCGGGACACCGACGGGACACCGAGGGGACACCGAGGGGATACCGAGGGGACACCGAGGTGACACCAACGGGACACCGACGGGACGACGGGACACCGACGGAACACCGACGGGACACCGACGGGACACTACGGCGGGACAACCCGGCCACCGCCGGCCCACCGGGGGAGGTTCGGACAATTGTCTTGCCCCGCCCTGGCAACAGTGGAGTCATTCCTCTCGCCCGCCCACGCAGCTTCGCCTACACGCACGACACGAACCCGAAACCGAAACCGATGTCCCGGTGGGGGGCTCTCCGTTCCACTTCCATCTCACCCCCCGACATGCGATTCTTCTTGGCAGGCGCTTTCTGGCCGTACCGCTCGGGGAACGAAGTACGACAACATGGTTTGCATTATGCAGTCAACACTGAAAGTAAGGATGAGCGACTTTCCGAGGTTTCCCTTGCATCCTTTCCCATCGTCCCATCGGCCAATCCGTGGCCATTTTCGCGGGCCGCGCCCCGATCGAAAAGTGTCGGCATGGCCCTCCAAGGACCTGACATCCTTGTCTTGCATCCTTACTATCAGTTTCGACTACATGTTCCGGTCGGGCGCACGCCTCCAAGGAGAACACGCAGTTTATTCGTGGAAGTCGTTATAAACATGAAATTTTGGCGCCCCGCGAGGGTTTCTGGGATCTGCGCTGGGCCCCCCCAGCGCCTCTGGCGCCGCCCCTGGCGCGCTCCACGTGCCAGGGAGGGAGGTCCAGCTCAGATCCAAGAAATCCGCGCGGACCGTCGAAAAATTATGCTTATGCCATTCTTTCTTCCTCCAAGAGTATCAGTTTCGTCTATATGTCCCGGTCGTGCGCACGCCTCCAAGGAGAACGCACAGTATTATTTGTGGAAGACAAACGCTATAAACATGAATTTTTGGTGTTCGCGCGTCTTTCTCGGATCTGCGCTGGGCCCCCCCCTGGCGGCGCCTCCGGCGCCGCCCCTGGCGCGCTCCGTGCGCCAAGGAGGGGGTTCCAGCACAGATCCAAGAAATACGCGCGGACCGTCGACAGATCATGTTTATGCGAGTTTTCCGTTCGTCCACTCGTATCAGTTTCGACTATGTCCGTGTCGGGCGCGCGCCTCCAAGGAGAATGCACAGTTTTACTCGTGGTAGAAAAACGCTATAAACATGAACTTTTGGCGCGCTCTGCGCGGATTTCTTGGATCTGTGCTGGACCCCCCTCCCTGGCGCGCGGAGCGCGCCAGGGGCGGCGCCAGAGGCCCCCCAAGAGATCCTCGCGGACCGTCGAAAGTTCATTCCTCCATGATGGGCACATTTTCCACCACCACTACCATATGTAGGACGGAGGAGAAGCGAGGATGAGAAGGTCCTCCTCCTCCTCCTCCTCCTCCTCCTCCTCCCTCTCCTACCTATGGTAGTGGTGTTGGAAAATGGGCCCGTCACCTCCAATACTATCAGTTTCGACTCTATATTCGGTCGGGCGCACGGCTCCAAGGAGAACACGCAGTATCATTTGTGGAAGCAAAACGCTTCAAATATGAACTTTTGGCGCTCCGCGCGGCTTTCTGGGATCTGCGCTGGGCCCCCCCTGGCGGCGCCTCCGGCGCCGCCCCTGGCGCGCTCCGCGCCAGGGAGAGGGGTCCATCTCAGATCGATTTCTTCCCATACCATGTTTCTCCCCCCAAGGGTATCAGTTTCGACTATATGTCCGGGTCGGGCGCACGCCTCCACGCGCCGTTTTATTCGTGGAAGGAAAACGCTATAAACATTACATTTTCGTACTCCACGCCAACTTCTGGGATCTGCGCTGGGCCCCCCCTGGCGGCGCCTCTGGCGCCGTACCTGGCGCGCGGAGCGCGCCAGGGAGGGGGGTCCAGCTCAGATCCAATAAATCTGCGCGGACCGTCGAAAGTTGATGCTTCTGCGAACCTTGCCTTCCTCCAGTGCTAGAAGTTTCGACTCTATGTCTGGGTCGGGCGCACGCCTCCAAGGAGAACGCAAAGTACTGTCGCATGTCCTCGTGCGTCCCATCCCTCCGGCCGCTTCGCCCTCCGCCCGCCCTCGTTGCCCTCGTTGCGCGCCTCTAAGGAGAACGCACAGTACTATCGCATGCCCTCGTGCGTCCCAGCCCTCCGGCCGCTTCGCCCTTCCCCCGCCCTCGTTGCCCACCCCTCCTCTGGGAGCCCAGGCCCTGGACGTCGGACCCTGTCTTCTGGCAGCGGTCGAGTGGGAGATCGGCTATGCCCCAAACTTGGTGGAGTCTACAAACAAACATAATGCTTGTAGATCTACTTGAGTTCGTGCCGGGCTTTCGCAGACTCGACGGGGCATGTTTTTGGGGATAAATCTGTTCTGTAGTCAATCTCCTCCTCGAGCTTCCGACACTCACTCGGGGGCCGGCCTTGCACCAGGTGTTTTTCGGGGGCCTCGAGACGGAGGTCATTGCAAACGGGGGTCAGCCGGGGCGCTGGAGGTTGCACGATTTTGCAAAGCCAGGGCTGCACTGACCCAGGTATCACCGCCCACCAAGACACCCCAACCCAACCCCAAGGCCCCGATTTGCCGTCCATTTGCAGTGGGGGGGTGGGTGGCCAGGGAACATGGACAAAAACACACATGAAGCCCGTACCCCAAAAGTCGGCTCTTCGGGCTTTGGGCTGGGGTGGTCTGGTAGGTAGTCCTGGTATGCGTGCAGGACCCTGCAGGACCCTGCAGGGTCCTGCCAAGAGAAGGCAGGGTCCCGCGAGGCCACTACGCCCTCCCGCCGGAGGTGCGGGAGGTGCTCATCGCCCGGGTGAGGAGGAGGGGGCAGGAGGAGGAGGAGGAGGAGGAGGAGGAGGAGGAGGAGGAGGAGGAGGAGGAGGAGAGGAGGAGGAGAGAGGAGGAGTAGGAGGAGGAGGAGGAGGAGGAGGGAGGAGGAGAAGGAGGAGGAGGAGGAGGGAGGAAGAGGAGGAGGAGGAAAGGAGGAGGAGGAGGAGGAGGGGGGGGGGGGATGAGGAGGAGGAGGAGGAGGGGGGAGAGGAGGAGGAGGAGGAGGAGGAGGGAGGAGGAGGAGAGGAGGAGGAGGAGGAGGAGGAGAGGAGGAGAGGAGAGGAGAGGAGGAGGAGGAGAGGAGGAGGAGGAAGGAGGAGGAGGAGAGGAGGAGGAGGAGGAGGAGGAGGGCGGAGGAGGAGAGAGGAGGAGGAGGAGGAGGAGGTAGGGGAGGAGGAGGAGGGGAGAAGGAGGAGGAGGAGGAGGAGGAGGGTGGGGGATGAGGAGGGGAGGAGAGGAGGAGGAGGACGAGGAGTGAGGGAGGAGGAGGAGGAGGAGGCGGAGGAGGAGGGGAGGAGGAGGAGGAGGAGGAGGAGGAGGAGGAGGAGGAGGAGGAGGAGGAGGAGGAGGAGGAGGAGGAGGAGGAGGGTCGGCACGGACAGCCCGAGGTCCGTGGGTGGCCCTCCGGGCCAAGGGGGAGGGGCCACCGGAGGGCGACAGAGAGACAGCTGCGAGGGTCGGGGGCCCGCCGTGCGGTCGTGGCGCGGCGGGGGGGGGGGGGCGGGGCGGCACGCTGCGGAGAGACGCGGCGCGGTGCCGATGCGGTTCGCCGAGCGCTCAGGGAAGGAGGAGGTAGCCATGCCGCTACCCTTCCCCCGCTCTCCTCTTTTTGGGGCCTCCTGGGAGGCTCCCCGTCGCCACTGCTGGATTCGCCCCGAAATCCTGGTCAGGACGTGCTGCGGGAGAGGTCTGGGGAGCAGCGATAGCGGTTCCTTTTGGTTTCCCGAGGGCGCGTTCCACTACTCGCAAAGTGCCCACTCGCAAACGTCTGAACAGAAAACGTGTCTTCTTCTAAGTCAATGGGTCGTAAGAGTCCCCCGCGGCGGGTCCAGGCCATTTGCGAGCAGTTACTGTCTGCGAGTAGCGGAACGCGCTTGTCCGGAGGTGCTTTCCACCCTGCTGGCGACCCCGGAGGCGCCGGTGCGCAGAAAGGTCCTGAAGGATCACCTCGCGGCGATGGAGGCGGAGGGCCACAGGGTGGAGGCCGCCAAGGATCCTCCTCCCTCCCTCCTCGCTCCTTAAGTTCTCTCTTCCCTCCCCCTCACCGTTTCCCTCTTGATTTGTCTTCCCTCTTCCGCCATCCTCCTCCCCTCGCAGGCCTTGTGCTGTATCAAAAGCCTCCTCTCCCTCGCTTCTTCCCTCCCCCCCTCCCTCCCTCCTCCCTCCCTCTTCCCTCTTCCCTCCCCCCCTCCTCCCTCCTCCACAAGTAAAGAACCAATACTTCTCTCCTCTCTCCCCTGGTGGCGTCCGGGAAATGGTCGGCCCCCCTCCGCGGATGGTTTTTTTGTCGACAGAATTCCCGGGACACAGGTTTTCGTTTTTTTTTTTTTTTTTTGTTGTTTGTTTTTTTTGTTTTGTTCCAAAACGCTGCTCTCGCTGAAGCGCTGGCTTCAAGTTGGGGCTACCGCTCGTTCTGAATCGTGCTCCCGCGGCGGCGCTGGCCTCATTTCCGCGACTCCGCTCGTTCCGAATCGTGATCCCGCTGCAGCGTTGGCGCCACTATTTCCAGTGCCATGACACGGCATGGTTTTCGGTCCTTCCAAATCTATTTAAATATGCCCCAAAATCTAGAGAATGGCCTCCCGAAGAAACCATCGGAAGTGATTACACATTCGGTGTCGATTCGTTGATTTTTTGGGCCGCCCCCCCCCCCCGGGGCGGGGCGGGGCGTCGCCACGCCATGCTATGTCAGGCTACGCGTCCTCATTTCTGCGCTTCCGCGCTTGGGCTTTTGTTCAAAAGGCTGCTCTCGCTGAAGCGCTGGCCTCAAGTTCTGGCTACCGCTCGTTCTGAATCGTGCTCCCGCTGCAGCGCTGGCCCCATTTCCGCGCTTCCGCTCGTTCCGAATAGTGCTCCCGCTGCAGCGCTGGCGTCACTATTTCCAGTGCCATGCCACGGCATGGATTCGGTCCTTCCAGCTAGGCCCCAAATGGCCTCCCGAAGAAACCATCGGAAGTGATTACACATTCGGTGGGGTTTCTTTGATTTTTTGGGCCGCAGAACCCCCCCCCACTTTGGGGCGTCGCCACGCGATGCTATGTTATGCTACGCGTTAGTCTTCGACACATTGCTATGCCATGAGAAGCTATGCCATGCTGCGACATCCGATAGTGCGAATAGAGGGGGGATCCACGCCATGGTAAGGGATGGGAGGGAGGGATAGGACGTCAGGTATGACGCGAGCCCACCTAGCTTGTCTTACCCCCCTCCCCCCTCCTCTCCTCTCCTCCTCCCTCCTCCTCCTCCTCCTCATTTTGCGCAGAAGTTCCTTGCGCGCGCCTTCTTCACCCGGGAGGATGTAGCCCCGAGCCTTCGGAGCCATGACAAGAGCTTGCGTGGACACGTTTCGCAAGGGCCGGCGTCTGCCGGCTGCTGATGTCGGGCGCCGGGGCCGCCACAGAACGATCCAGGGCGGAACACTGGCCCCAGTGCCAGGGTCGAGACCTCCCGGATCCCCGCACTGACAGAGCGAGGGGGCAGGAGGTCGGGCAGGAGCAGCGGAACCGTGAAGACCTCTGCACGCAGTGCCTGTCAGGCTTCGCCGCCAGGCACTTCCCTCGATGCATGGTCGCTCCCCGCGCCTCGAGAGTGCCTTCCGCCCGGACCGCTGGCGGGCAACGCGACGACGACGACGACGACGACGACGGCGACGGCGACGGCGATCAAGACGACGACGACGACGACGACGACGACGACGACGACGACGACGACGACGACGACGACGACGGCGACGACGACGACGACGACGACGGCGATCAAGACGACGACGACGACGACGCCTCGCGACGCGAATTCGATTCCCTATCCCCCCTCCCCTCTTTGTCTCCCCCGATTGGGCCGGGGAGCCGGCCGTTCGCGCCCCCTTGGCCCCCGCGCGGCGACGCCATTTAGCGCCACCCGGGCGGCCCACGGCCCCCCCCCCCCGGGCTTGGGTGCTGGGGCTGTTCTCGGCCACACGCAGGGGGCGGATAGGGGGGGGGGGAGGGGGGGGAGGAGGAGGAGGAGGAGGAGGAGGAGGAGGAGGAGGAGGAGGAGGAGGAGGAGGGAGGAGGAGGAGGAGGAGGAGGAGGAGGAGGAGGAGGAGGAGGAGGAGGAGGGGAGGGGGGACGGCTCCTTCGAAGCACCCTGCCTCTCTGAAGGCGCGGGCCTCGTCTGTACAGATGTGGGGCCGACGCCTTCTGGGAAGCAGCCTCCTCCCGAGAAGCCTTCCCCCCTCCCCCTGCCCCCCTGTGCGAGCCGCTAATGCTTCGTCGGGCGGCACACCGGGGAACAGTGACACCACCCCTGTCGGGCGGGTTGTGCATGGGGGGTGGCCCGAATTGGGGGTGAAGAAAGGGGGCCCGAAGCCCTTGAAGGCCCCTTTTGGAGCGAGCAGGTGCGCAAAAGGGGCCCCGAAGGCCCAATTTTGGGCCTTCCTCTTCAACCCCCCACTGCTGCCCGCCCGACCCACGATCAGCCCCCTGCTGCTTGAGGAGCAGGAGCAGGAGGGAGGAGCGAGGCGTTCGAGCCAGGTTCGTTTTTCTTGTTTGTTCTCTTGTTTGTTCCCCCCCCGTTTTGGTCGTTCGCCCTCCCCACCCTCTTCCCCTGTGTGTTTCGTTCGCTCTCTCTCTACCCGCCCTCCCCCACCCCCTGGAGAAATCTCGAGGAGGAGGATGAGGATGAGGATGAGGAGGAGGCATGAGGGGAGGTTTGGGGGGGATTGCTTTTTTTTATGGGGTGGGGGGCTCGGTAGGCCTCCTCCTGCTTCAGGAGACCCCTTGGAATCCAGGGACCTCCATGCAGGGACTCCTGAGGACCCTCCTCCTGCAGCCAGAACTTCGGAGGAGGGGCCAACTCTGAGCTCGGAGGGGGCTTGGGTTCCTCGGGTCCTTCCGTTGGCTCTCCCTGCGTTGCTTTGGCAGCCTCGGCGCCCCTCGGCCCAGAAATGACCCTTCCCTTCCGAGACATCCGACGTGTATTTTGTTTGCAGCCGCGGCCTCCCAGAGCTCTCCCGACCCGCTCTCCGGGGGGCAGCGTCTCGACGACCCGGAGCAACTCCTGCTGATCCCGGGGCCCGCACACGGCCCCCCGGAGGCCAAAGGAGAGCACCCGGGCTCGAGCAGGTCGGCGCGTCGGAAGTCTGGCTCTTTGGGGGGGCGCGTGGCGGGGGGGCGGCAGACGGAGGGGGTCGGCGAGGGCTGCAGAAAAAGGGTCCTTTGGGGGCCCCGAGGGAGCCTTGAGGCTCCGAGCAGGGCACCCTTTCTTCCCTCCCAACCGGCGCCCCCCCCACCTGTTCGCGCTCAAGGTTTGCTGTCTTTCGAAGGTTCCGCATGGAAAGACCTCGACCCCCGTGAGGACCTCTCGTCCGCCATTGTCGAGCTCGTCCGGGAGGCCGAGGTGCAGTTCACGGGCCAGAATGTGGAGACCCCGCAGCGCGTGGAGACGCTCGAGCTGATCCGGCGAACGGCCATCGACGCTGGGGTGGTGATCGCCGAGGTGTACGGCGACGAGGACTCATTCCTCGTTGCGCAGCCTCCTCCTCATCATCATCGTCGTTCCCTCCCTCTCGTCCTCCCGGACCAGCTGCAGCTCCCATCAGGTGGGAAGCAGGGGAGTTCCATGCACAGGCGCAGGGCAGCGTACACCGCCTGATTCCTAAGAGCCAGGCGTCACAGTCTCCTACACGGGGCGTCTTCGCTTGGCTTGGGGCCCCGGGGCCCTCACTGATAGATCTGGCTCGAGAAGGGCTGCAGAACATTGGTGTGTATATATATATATGTATACACACATATACATATATACATATATATATATATATATGTGTGTATATATATATATATGTACGGGTGTATACATACTGCATAGGTATAGTACAGATATAGACATGCACACAACAAACAAACATATAATACACACAAGATTTTGAAGGCTCGCTGCCGCTTCGACTTACACCTTGGCCCTCTGACGGCTGGGGAAGCCCAGCTCGTCGAGAAGACGCGCGGCCTCCACGGCGCCATTCTCCCGCGCCCCCCTCCACCGGGTGCTCCTGCCCCCCCCCCTCCGCGTCCTGTCGGTGAAATTCTCCCTCCGGCCCTGCTCCGTCCCTCCTTGCCCCGACCCTCCGGGGGGTCAACAGGAGAGGTGGGGGGGGCACGAAGCCACGCAAAGAACACGGGTGTCTGAACGCCTTGCGCGCCCTGGCGGGGCTTCCTGGACGGACGGGAGCGGCACGAAACTAGGCAAATCGTGCGGTGTCCGAATGCCCTGCCCTACCTGGCGGGGTCTCCCTGGAGGGGGGTGGGGGGGGGGCACGAAACCATGTGAATTGTACGGTATCCCATTACCCAGCGCGCCGTGGCGGGGCCACCCCGGAGGGGTGGGAGTGGCACGAAATTTAGTGAATGGTATGGTGTCCGACAACTCGGCCCGCCTTGGCGGGGCCGCCCGCATGCGACACCGTGGAACGAAAGAGAACATGTCGACAGAGGTCCCTGCCGCACTTGCCCGGTCAGTCCCCGCGGCCCGCCTGTCCGCCAGCGAGTGGGCATTTTTTGGTGGCGAACTCGGCGGGGAGGGACAGCTTCCACGCAACCGCAAAATGATAACTGGGCGGGTGGCCCCGTTCTGCCTCTGGATGCGCGCAGCACGGCAGACACCTACGGCGAATCACCGGCGCCCCGCCCATGTGGCCGAGCGCTGTGGCAAGAGCTCTGCCAAGCTATCGGACCATGTGTTCCCCCAGCCGTTGTGGAAACCCTTTGGGGAATACTTGGGGGAGGATGGCGGGGAAGATCAGGAGGAGGAGGAGGAGGCTCAGGAGGAGGCTCAGGAGGAGGAGGAGGAGGAGGAGGAGGAGGAGGAGGAGGAGGAGGAGGGAGGAGGAGGAGGAGGAGGAGGAGGAGGAGGAGGAGGAGAAGGAGAAGGGGAGGAGGAGGAGGAGGAGGAGGAGGAGGAGGAGGAGGAGGAGGAGGAGGAGGAGCAGGAGCAGGAGCAGGAGCAGGAACAGGAGGAGGAGGGGGCATCTTGGGAGCCTCTGGGGGCACTCTTGGGCCTCCGGGGAGCTTCCTGGGAGCCTCTTGGAGGCATCTTGAGGGCCTCCTTGGGCTTCTTGGGGGCCTATGGAGGCTTCTCGGGGGCCTCTTGAGCCATCTTAGGGCATTCTTGGCCCGTCTGACGCCGTCGGAAGCCGTCTTGGGGGCCTCTCTGGGCAGACTTGGGGTCCTCTTTGGGTGCTCCAGGGCCGTCTTGAAGGCCATCTTGGGCGTCGTGGAGGCCTCTTGATGCACCAACGATGTTGCAATAAACCCTCCCTCCAGTTCCTTCTCCATAGGTTCCATACAAGGACTTCTGTATCTTCAATGCGGGAAGTGCCCCATTGGAAGACAACCGTCTCAGATCCGTCAACCATACCAATCAAAATTCCGGGGCTTTCAACGCCACAGTCAACGTGACGGTTGCGTCCTGATTGACAGCCTTGAATTTTGCCAGAACACCGCTCCTGGGACTTGAACGCCGAATCCGCATGATTGTTGCGTCCTGACAATCCTAGTTGGTGCATTGGTGCCAGAACACCGTTCCTGGAACTTCAACCATAGAAGTCCTTCAACTGTGGTGCACAGTTCAGGCGAATGTGCGCGGCGCTAGGGTGAGAGCCACATTTCGGAGAGGAACCGCCCTCCACCCTGGAAGCTGCTGCAAACTTGTGAAGACGAGAGTGCGCGGCGCTAAGGCGAAAACCGCATTTGGGAAGCCATCCGTCCTCCATCCTTGAAGCCGTTACAAAATCAGGGGAGGAAGGGGTACTGATACCGCTACCCTTGCTTCGTTTTCACTTTTTTAGCCTCCTTGGAGGCCCTCGTCGCCTCCACTGGACTCGCCCCGGAATTCTCGCCAGAACGCACCCCAGGAGAGGTCGGGGATATCGGTATCAGTAACGTTTGGCCCCCCCCCCGAAAGCTTCAGAATCATTCGTGGTAGGGAGGTCTCAGGCGAAACGCCCGGCCTGACAGGGAGGAGTTATTCAAAAGGAAAACGGATTGAGGAGGAGGAGGAGGATGAGGAGGAGGAGGAGGAGGAGGAGGAGGAGGAGGAGGAGGAGGAGGAGGAGGGGGGGGGGAAGGGGGGGGGGAGGGGGGGAGAGGAGGAGGATGAGGAGGAGGAGGGAGCCTGGTGGCCTCCCGATCTGGTTCAGCGAGATGCACGTGCTGGCCGACCGTTCGCTGCTGTCGTCGTCGTCGTCGTCGTCGTCGTCGTCGTCGTCGTCGTCGTCGTCGTCGTCGTCGTTCGCTTCGCTTCTTGCCGCTGCTCGCCGCGAAAAAGGGAGGCAAGCCGTCGTTCCAGGACGCCCCCTGGCCCTGCAACTGCGCGCGGTGCCCAGGAGGAGTTGGGAGGGAGGAGGAGGGAGGAGGAGGAGGAGGAGGAGGAGGAGGAGGAGGAGGAGGAGGAGGAGAAGGAGGAGAAGGGAGAGGGGAGGAGGAGGAGGAGGAGGAGGAGGAGGAGGAGGAGGAGGAGGAGGAGGAGGAGAAGGGAGACGGGAGAAGGGGGATGATGATGCTGCTGCTGATGATGATGACGATGATGGTGATGCTGATGCTGATGCTGCTGCTGATGATGATGATGCTGATGACGATGATGCTGATGATGATGGTGATGATGATGGTGATAATGCTGACTATGCTGATGATGATGAGGATGGTGCAGATGCTGCTGCTGCTGATGATGGACACTATGTTGATGATGATGTTGATGCTGATGCTGATGGTGATGGTGAGGAGGCTGATGATGCTGATGATGCTCATGCTGATTATGCTGATGCTGATTCCGATGATGATCACGATGATGCTGCTGCTGATGATGATGATGACGATGCTGATGCTGATGCTGATGCCGATGGAGATGATGCTGATGATGCTGATGATGCGGATGATGCGGATGTCGCTGATAATAATACTGACGATGCTGCTGATGATGATGATGTTGATGATGATGATGACGATGCTGATGATGACGATGCTGATTATGCTGCTGCTGATGATGATAATGCTGATGCTGATGATGATGCTGATGATGATGACGATGATGAGGATGATGATGAGGATGATGATGAGGATGATGATGATGATGATGATGATGATGATGATGCTGATGATGATGATGATGATTCTTGTGGTGGTGGTGGTGGCGGTGTGGTAGTAGTGATGACGATGGTGATGGTGGTGGTGATGATGATGCTGCTAATGATGGTGATGCTGATGATGATGATGACGATGATGATGATGCTGACTCAGTTGCTGATGTTGATGATGAGGAGGAGGACGAGGAGGAGGAGGGAGAGGAGGATGAGGAGGAGGAGGAGGAGGAGGAGGGGGAGGAGGAGGCTGATGAGGAAGAGGGCAAGCTAGGTGCGCAAGCGTCTTATCTGACGTCCTACCTCTTTCTCCCATCCTCACCATGGCGTAGATCTCCTCTCTATTTGCGCAGTCGGATGTTGTAACATGGCACAGCATTGCATGTCATAACATGGCGTTGAATATCATAGCATGGCATAGCATGTTGTGGCACTGCGTAGTCAAGCACTGCATGTTATAGTATTGTAGCTGAAGGCATGGCATGGCACAGCGGAACACACCATAGCATTGCATTGCATGCCATGGCACGACATTGGAACTGAGTCCAGCGCTGCAGCGGGAGCATGATTTGGAACGAGCAGAAGCGCGGAAATGAGGCCAGCGCAGCAGCGGGAGCACGATTCGGAACGAACGGAAGTGCGGACATGAGGCCAGCGCTGCAGCGGGACCACGATGCGGAACGAGTGGAGGCCCGAATATGAGTAGCGGGAGCAAATTTTGAAGGACTGGAGAGAAACGGATGTGTAACAACACATATGAAAGACCAACTCGCCGGAATTTGGTGTGAAAAGCAGTACGTGGAGGGGGGGCGAACATCTTCTGGACAGAGTCAGGGGAGAGGAGAGTGATATTCATATCGTGTAATTGTGGATGAGGAGGTGGAGGAGGAGGAGGCGGAGGAGGAGGAGGAGGAGGAGGAGGAGGAGGCGGAGGCGGAGGCGGAGGAGGAGGAGGGGGCAGCTGGGCCCTCCCGCCCAGGAGCAGGACATGTTCACGAACGAGCTGGGGCCCCTGTTTGAGGCGCTGAGCCGCACGTGAGCGGGCCGCCCGCTCACGTGGCGGCGCGTGGCGGCTGCTCGCAGCCACGGGGGGGCCTGTACGACGGGGGGGGAGGCCACAGCCAGGGCCCGCCAAGGCAGGGCACTGCCGACTTCTTATCGGATATTGTTTCTTGTGTCTGGAGATTCGGCCAGGATATCGACGGCAGAATTCATTGGCACTGGGAATGGTTGTGCGTCGAAGCTGCGAAACATGCGCAGACTGCTCCGCATATCTGCGGACCAGTCTACGCATTCTTCGTAGGTTTGAAGGGACATCGGTTGTGGGGTAAGTCAATTCTGCAGTCGATTCCCCATTCGAGAACTGCCACCTGGACAGAACGAGGAACGGAGAATGCCGGGACCCACGGCTCCAGTTCTCTCGGGTGCGCCCACGGCCCCCTCTCCTAGGGGGCCCTGACCACAGCCGGTGGTTGCCAGGAGGTGGCCCTGGCCCAACGGGGCCCCCAGCGCTCCGCTCCATCGTTTGGAGCCTCCGGGGCCCCCAGGGGCTCGAGGAGGGGTGTTCATGGAGGCTCTTCGGACCTCCAGTGCATGCGCAAGATGGTCGAACCCTCGCACACTTGAGGGGGGTGGTCATCACTCCCCCGCCCCCGACATCACTGCTGATTTTAGCACGGGTGGTGGTTTGGGGGCTTGACTATTTCTGTGCGCGCATGCCCTCTCCGTTGCCACACCCTCAGTATTCAGCTTCGAGCTCCGGGGGTGTATCTTGTGCCGCAGGGCTCGAACTTGCTGTCCATGTGCGGTGCCTGGGAGGTCCCGATGGCCACCTTGGGCCAGGACCACGCCTGGCAGCACCTGACACGGGCGCACGCTCGCCGAAGACCAGCAGAAGCGGCACCAAGAGGAACTGTCGGAGGAGGAGGAGGAGGAGGAGGAGGATCAGGAGCAGGAGGAGAAGCAGGATGAGGAGCAGGATAAGGAGGAGGAGGAGGAGGAGGAGGAGGAGGAGGAGGAGGAGGGGGAGGGGGAGGAGGATCGAGGCGGACCAGCAGGAACCGTCGGAGGTCCGCGCAGATCTGTCTTGCGTCGGCGCTGGGCCCCGAGCCTCCGGCGCCGCCCACCTGGTGTGCGCCGCCGCGCGCCGGGGCCGCCCCTCGGCATCGCTCGGACGTGTGCCTTTTGTGTCTCGGCGCGGGCCGTGGAGGAGCCTCGAACTCATCCCTATCCCTAAGATTGACACGCCAAAGGGCGATGACAATCTTAGGGATTCGCCCTCAAAAAATAGGGGAAACCCCTAAGATTGGCATCGTGTTGAGGAGATGCCCAGCATAGGGATAGGGATACGTTCCAGGCTTGTAATGGAGGAGCATCCAGGATCCTCGAGCCCCCCCCCCAAGTACGGGGCAGGGACGTCCCAGCGATGGCGAGGGGCAGAGGTGCGGTGAGGGAGGTCCAGCGCCCACCCGAGGAGTCCGCGCGGCCCTCCTTGGACTTTTTTGCAGTTTTGGGGCGCAGCTTTGGCCCAGGAGGTCGTCAACGCCCCGCGAAGGCTCGCGAGGGGCCCCTATCAGAGCAGCGGCCCCCCTGGAGGGACTTCGTGGAGGTTGTGACCAGGCCTTGGCAAAGGCCTGCCAGGCACTTTGCCAGACGGAGCGGTCTCGCACGGCCCAGCCCGCAGGCGGGAGCGGCCAGATCGAGGACGCCGGCGGCGCATCTCGGTTTCTGTGGAGTACCGAAGACGCTCAGGGCGAATCACCGCCGCCCCCGGCTTTTGGGATACGCCTGTGTGGCCAAACGTTTGGACAAAGTTTGGGTGCGCTATTGGACAATACGTTCACCCTGCCGTTGTGGAAACCCTTACGTGGGAGAAGGAGGATGAGGAGAGGGAGGGGAAAGAAGGATGAGGATGAGGATGAGGATGATGATGAAGATGAGAATGATGATGGTGATGATGATGATGATGGTGGTGGTGATGATGATGATAAATGATGAATCTGATGATTATGATGATGCTGATGATGATGATGATGGTGATGATGATGATGGTGCTGATGATGATGATGATGATGGTGATGATGATGATGATGATGGTGGTGGTGATGACGATGATGATGGTGGTGATGATGATGATGATGGTGATGATGATCCTGCTGCTGATGATGATGATGTTGATGATGATGATGGTGATGATGATGATGATGATGATGATTATGATTGATGATGATGATGATGATGATGATGATGCTGATGGTGGTGGTGGTGGTGGTGGTGATGATGATGATGATGATGGTGGTGATGATGATGATGATGATGAGGATGAGGATGATGATGATGATGATGATGATGATGATGATGATGATGATGATGATGATGATGATGATGATGATGATGATGATGATGATGATGATGATGATGATGATGATGATGATGATGATGATGATGATGATGATGATGATGATGATGATGCTGATGATGATGATGATGATGATGATGATGCTGATGATGATGATGATGATGATGATGATGATGATGATGATGATGATGATGATGATGATGATGATGATGATGATGATGATGATGATGATGGTGATGATGGTGATGATGCTGCTGCTGCTGAGGAGGAGGAGGAGGAGGAGCAGGAGGAGGAAGAGGAGGAGGAGGAGGAGGAAGACGACGAATAAGAAGACGGATAATAATATTAATACTATTAAGAAGAATACTAATACGAAGAATACTAATACTACTAATAATAAGAAGACTGATACGAATAATACGAATACGCATAATCAGAAACATAATACGAATATCAAGAAGAAGAATACTAAGACAAAAAATGATAATACTAATAATAACAAGAAGAGTCAGAAGAATAAGCATACTAATAAGCATAATACTATTAAGAAGAATACGAAGAATAATCAGAGGAGGAGGAGGAGGAGGAGGAGGAGGAGGAGGAGGAGGAGGAGGAGGTCTCTTCGGAGGCACTTGGGACGCGCCACGGGGCACTTTTGGGGCCTTCTGGGAGCTTCCTGGGGGCCTCTTGGAGGCCTCTTGTGGGCCTTTGGATTCTTCTTGAGAGCCTCGTTGGCCGTCTCAGGGCGTTCCTGACCCAATACGTCGACGGAAGGCGTCTTGGGCCTCTCTGAACCGATTTGGGGCCCTTTGCGACGTTTCAGGGCCGTCTCGGAGGCCATCTTGGGCGTCTCGGAGGCCTCTGGGGCCCTCTTTGGGCCGTCTTGGAGGCCTTGCCTTTTGGGCCGTCGGAGGGCCGAAACGAAGCAACTGCCCAAACCCTTCAAACACTTGAGGAAACTAACTGATTTTTGCCTCCTCGGGCCTTCTGGAGGTCCTTTTGGAGGCCTCTTGGGCTCTTGGGGGCCTCTTGGGGGCATCTTGGGCTCTTTGGGGCCATCTTGGCCGTCCTGGAGGCCATCTTGAGCCATGTAGGAGCGAGAAGGGCAACCGACCATCTGGGCAAATTGGAGGTGGTTCCGGGTGGCTGGCGCAATGGACCGAAGTCCCAGGGGGAGCCTTAAAAGAACGAGAAACCATCTGAACCCCAGCACGCTGTGCAACCTTGTGGCAAGCCAACAGGGGGCGGCGGATCTAGTGGCTCTCGGCCCATCCTGCCACCGTGCCTGGGTTGTACGTCAGAGGCCTCTTGGATACCCTCGGGGATTCTTAGAAGGATTTTCGGAAGCCGCCTGTAGGTGGTTTATGTCTTGGAGCCTCTCGGAGCCTCCTGGGGGCCTCCTGGGGCCTTATTTGGGCCTCTTGGGGGCCTCCAGGGGCTTCTGAGGGCCCCCTTGCGGGCCTGATGGCGGTCTCGGGTGTCACCCCGGGGCGGGGAGCGCGAACTGTCACTTCGACTTCCCCCTCTTGATGCCCTCTTGAGGCCCTCTTGGGGCCATCTTGGGCCGTTGTGGGGGCCTTGGGCCCTCTTGGGCCCCTCAGGGGTCGTCTGGGGGGCCCTTTTTGGGGGCCCCTGGGGCTTTCTTGAGGCGATCTTGGAGGCCTCTTGGGCCGTCTTGGAGCGTCGGAAGCCAGAAAGGGCGGGCACGCCAAAATCGTTCAAAAAACTAAGGGCCGTTCAAAAACCGAAGGACCATGAATGGATTTGGCCTCTGGGAGCCCTCGTGTGAGTCCTCTTGGAGGCCTCTTGGACGTCCTGGGGGCCTCGCAGGTCTTTTGAGGCCATCGTGGGCCGTTCGGAAGCTACCTGGAACCATCTCGAGGCTCTCTTGGACCGTGCTGGGCGCCTTGGGAGGCTCCCGTGCGTCATCTGGTGGCCCCCCGAGGTCGTTTCGGGGCCACCTCGAAGGCCCTTCAGCTCGTCGGCCCCGCGGAGGCTCGGGAGGCACCGCCGAGCAGCGGCCCACCAGAGGGACTTGAGGGCGGTTCTGGGCATCACCAGCCTCGAACTGATCCTTATCCCTGAGACTGACACGCTAAATAATGAGATGACAGTCTTAGGGATACACCCTCAGAAACTGAGGAAATCCCTAAGATCGCCACCGTGATGCGGCGATGCCCAACATAGGGATAGGGATATGTTCCAGGCTGGTAAGGGCACTCTGGGCACTCTGGGCAGAGTGGTCTCGCACGGCCCCGCCCGCGGGCCTGGAGCGGCCGGCTCCGGACGGGGCGCGCCCTCTGCCGCCGCCCTCTCCGGGGCTGAGCTGCCCCGCGGCGGCCTCGGAAGGGTGCGCTGGGCCCGTCGTGGCGCCCTCGCGGGAGGGCCCACCTGGCGCCCCCCTGGGGGGCTGCTTCGAGGGCGCGCCCTCGAGGGCGCGGAGCTTTTCGCGCTTCGCGCCTCGCGGTTCGGCTCCGATGCCTCCGCATCCTCCTCTTCTCCCTTTGGGGGGCGGCGTGAGAGCGCGAAGTTCTGCGCGCCTCGCGCTTCGCGCAGCGCGAAGCGCGAAGTTGGGAGCCCTTGCTTCTTGGGTGGCCTCTTGGGGGCCTTGTTAGGGGCCTCCTGGGGGGGCCTCTGGAGGGTCATGGGGGACCTCTTCGGCTGTCTTGGGGCCCTCTGCCCTCCTGGGCCGTCTCGGGGGACGAGGAGGCCCTCTCGGGGCTCTCTTGGGAGCCTCTTGAATGATCCTTGGAGCCATCTTGGAGGCGTCTTGGACCATCTTGGACTGCTGGACGCCCGAAAAGGCGAGAACGCAACAATCTGTCAAGCATTGAATGAAGCGAGATCCAAGGTTACCAACGTGGATCCCGAGCAATAGGTTCTAGCACCCTCGGTGTGCAATATATGTAGCTCAAGGTGGGTGGTGTAAGCTATTTTGAATAAGGTATGCAGTGCAATGTATGTGGTGTGAGCTGTGTGGTGCAGTGCATGTGGTGTATATGTGGTGTAGGTATGTGGCGTGAGCTATCTGACATAACCTATGTGGTACAAGTTGTTTATGATATGCAAGCTATGCTGTATAAGCTATGTACTGTAAATAATGTACGACATGCAAGATACGCGATGCAACCTATGTGGCGTAAGCTTTGTGGTGTCGCGCGTGTGGGTTCAGATATGTGGTGTCAGCTACGAGTAGGCTGTGGGTGCAAGTTGCGTGGTGGAAGCTGTGGGGGTACAGGCTGGGTGGTGCAAGGTGTGTGGTGCATGCTGTGTGGTGCAAACTGTGTTGTCCAGTGTGTGTATGTGCGTGCGCGAGAGAGAGAGAGAGAGAGAAACCGAGAAAGTGTGTGTGTGTGTATGTGTGTGTGAATGTGTGTGTGTGTGTGTTTGTGTTTGTGTGTGTGGGTGTGGCGTGATACGTTCTGCGAGAGGTGTGGTGCAAGCCAGGCGGTGCAGTCTGTGCGGCGCCAGGCTGTGTGGCAGGCAGTCCCGAGGCGCCCACGAGGCGCCCAAGGGGGGGAGGCGAGCGCCGCGGCAGGCACGGCGAGTGGCCCGCGAGGAGGCGCCCCGCGGGGAGGCACCCCGCCCGGGCGCCCGGTGCGAGCCCCCGACCGCACCCGCCCAGGCGCACGGTGCCCGCGGGGCGCCCGCGGCGGGGCCCCGCCCGGGCACCGGGCGCAGAATCCCTCGGCGGCCGGCCACGCGCGAAGCCTGCCCTCGGAGGTCGGGCCTGTCCCTCTACGGGAGGGGTGTCGAGGAACCGTCCAAACATACTCTGGGGACGATTTTTCCGAATATGGTTGGGCTAGGTCTGCGCGATGTCTGAATCTGTTTCGCTGCTCGTCCAAAGCCTGCCTGTAGGAGGACATGCCCGACCTAAGCCTGCCCCCCCCCCCCCCACACACGATTGCTAAAGGTGTGTGTGTGTGTGTGTTTGCGTGTGTGTGTGTGTGTGTGTGTGTGTGTATGGGGGGAGGGTTCACACGTGGCCACCTGGCCCCGCCACGTCCGCCCGATTACACGCGGGATGGTCGATTTTTCCCCCGCTCCGCTTTTTCTTTGGGTGTCCCGGAGCAGAGAGCGCTCCCGCGGCACCCTGCAGCATGCGGCTCTCTCTGCTTTGTGACAGGCGGGCGTGTTTTGTTTTTCCTTAGGAGTGTGAATGTCAAAATAAACATCCCAAGTATGACCCCCCAAGCGCAAGCACAGGTTGGGGAATGACTTGAGTCTCTGGGGGCCCTCTGGGGCCCCCCTTGGGTGACTCGAGGTCACTCTGTCCTCGTTGAGGCCATCTTGGAACGTCTTGGATCCATCTTCGGCCGTCTTGGGCGCTTGAGGCCCTCTTCGGGACCTCCCGAGGCCGTCTTCGAGGCCTCTTGGGCCTTCATGGCCGCGCGGTGGCGTCCCCATCGGACTCCTGTGGCAGCCTGGAGCGGCCAGGAGTCTGAGAGGCCCTCCCCGGGCGGCCTCCCTTGGCGCTGCAGGCCCTCCCGACGGACAGTAAGAGAGGGACGGGGCTGGAGAGGCAGCAGACAGCACGCAGAAGGCGGCGCAGCAGAGCACAAAAGACAGCACTCCGGCACGCCCCGCCTCGCAGCCTGGCACACCCGGGGGGGGCCAAAGCGGACTCCTGCCGCTCCTCTGCCCTCCGCGCTCGGCAGCCCGCACCGCCGCGGCCCTCTGCAGGTCGGCGCGCGCTCGCTATAGGGAGTTGCGGGGGGCAGACGACGCTTTTTAACATCGCGGGCCTTCTCTGCACTCACCTCTCGAACATATGATGCAGCACATCTGCCCTCACCGACTGCACGGAAGAGTGACCTTTCGCCGGAGTGACCTCTGGTGCGGGCACAATGGGGTCCCCCGATCACCGATTGCTATGCGACAGTCGCGTCTTGCGCGCCCGAGTTTGGTCCCCCCGCGGCCCCCCAAAAGCCGCGCACCAAAGGTCACTCTTACCCAGGGTCACTCTTGCGTGTAGCCGACTTCATCTGGACGCCAGCGGGAAGTTCGATCTTTCTCCATCATGTCGTTGAGGCAGTCGTCGGCGTTTCGGGGGAAGGCGCTAGTCAGGGCCGCTTGCGGTCGGATTCGGTACAATTCGATTCGCCGGCTGGGGCCGCGATTCAAAATCTATTCGATTCGGTTCAACTTGGTTCGATTCACAAGCATCGTCCAGGGCCAGCAGGAACCAGCAGCGGCGACCGGATTTTGATTCGATCCCAGAGGATTCATTGGCGATCTGATCCGTATCCGATCCCGATCCAGATTCGCGATTCCACCTGGCTCAGGCTTGCCAGTTCCGTGTCGGGCAGATCTGGAGGTCCAGAGGGCCCCTTGGCCCCTCAGCCCTTAGCCGTCGTGCTCTTCGCTTCTGTTCTCGCGCGCGCACCTCCCAGCACACCTACCCTCACGCAGTGCGAGCACCCGAACTTCTCTCGCTGAGCCCGGCTCCCGGCCGCACAACTAGCCCGTCACCAGTGTTTGTGGCCATTCTGCCGCGGTGTGCACGTGGATCGAGGTGGGCGGCGTGAGCCCATACTCGGCGATGCTGCGTCGAAGAAGAGTGTGCCTAAGCGAAGAAATCGCTCGCCGTCATGATGACACGGCGCGGAGCGAGTTTCAGAGGACGCGGAGCAAGTTAGCTTTGCAGCACGGACAAGGGGGGCGAGTTCACCCCCAACGGCGGAGGAAGTTCTTCCGTATGAGAAAACGCACGGGGATCCAGCTTCTACATTGTGGCGAACATATACCATCTAAAATGGCCCTGGGTGTGGGCGGAAATTTCCTCCGCCGCCGCCAGACGCCAGGTTGAAGGATTCTACGGGGGCACAGGGGGCCGCACGTCTACAGGGATGGTTGAAATTTTAGGAACGCCATTGCGTAAATTTTCACATCGAAATGACTACATTGCTGTCGTCGTCGCCGTCGCAATCGCCCGCGCAGCCGTAGCCGCCGTAGCCGACTTCGTCGTCGCCGCTGCCATTGCCGTCTTTGTCGCCGTCGCCGTCGCCGCCGCTGTCGTCGACCCGTGGCCGCCGTCGTCTCAGGCGCCGTCGCCCCCGTCATCGCCGTCGTCGTGCGACGTCGTCGCCATCGCCACCGTCGCCGCTTTCGCCGCGGTCGTCGCCGACCTCGCCGCTGCCACCAACGCCGTCGTCGCCGTCGCCGTCGTCGCCGCCGCCGTCGCCAGCGCCGCCGTCGCCGCCGTCCCAAGCGCCGTCGCCACCGCCACCGCAGCCGTCCTCGCCCCCGTCGTCGTCGTCGTCGTCGTCGTCGTCGTCGTCGTTGTCGTCGTCGTCCCCGCCGCCGACGGGCCCATCTTTGGCGTCGTCGTCGGCGCAGTCGTCGGCGCCCAAATCGGCGTCGTCCACTACACGATGGCGGGATGAATACAACACAACGCAAGTGGAAGTCATTGCGCAATCAATGCAAACGCATGGCGTGCTAACCCATTACTAATGTTTGTGACCATTCTGCCACGGTGCGCATGTGAATCGAGGTTGGCGGCGTGAGCCCATCTTCAGGTAAAGTTGCGTCGGGGAAGAGTGTGCCTGAGCGCAGAAACCGCTCGCCGTCGTGGTAGCGCGGCGCGGAGTGAGTTTAAGAGGACGGGGAGAAAGTTAGATCTACAGCAAGGACAAGCGGGGCGAGTTCACCCCTGACGGCGGAGTAAGTTCTTGCGTGTGGAAAAACACGACGCACGGAGGAAACTATTACTTACACCGTCATGCACACATCATATCCAAAGAGAACCGGGGTGCGGGCCGAAACCAGCTCCGCCGCCGCCGATCCCCAGGTTACGGGGGGAAGGTGGTCGCACGTCTACAGGGATGGTCAAAGCATTGGGAACGCCATGCTCTCATTCTCCGTTTTTCGCCCTGTGCAACTTCCGCGACATCGTCTTCCCGTTTGCGCAATTTCGCGACATCGTCCGATCCGCGGCCAGCCAGCGGTAGTTTCTTGCACAGGTCATGTATGTGAGTATCACTTGTCATACATGGTCCCACTATGGTTGTAGCTGTTTCGTTTCTGCTGGCAATTCTTGCGCGCTTCGGCCCTACTCTGCCGCACCCACGCGGTGCATGATGCAGGCCGATGTCCGGTGTCCGATGTCAGAGCTTTGCAGGGTTTTTTTCAGATCTACGGCCTCACGCGCCTTGCTCAAAAATGCACATGCACACGCGCTTCTCCGCATGAGCCTGCACCGGCGCCTCGCTTGCTCGCTCGCCTCGGACGGATAGGCAGCCCATGAGGGGCAGATACCTGATCACACCTCCTCCTCTTTCCCCCCCCTGGTCCCCCACATTCTCTCTTCCCCTCCTCGTCCCTGCCCGATTGATCGGCAGGAGGAGCGTTGGAGAGAAGTACGCGGACGGCGGCGGCGGCGGCGACGACGGCAACGACGGCGGCGGCGGCGGCGTTGGCGGCGGCGGCAACGGCGGCGACCGCGCCGGGACCCCCACGGGCCCGGCCCCCGAAGGCGGAGGCCTGCCGGCTTGCCCCAGCGAGGACCAGCGCCAGGCGGTCGCGGCCCTGCACCGCCGCGGTCGCCCGCCCGCTTCGGGGGGCCGCGCGGCGCTGGGCCTCTCGCGCGGCGCGCGGCAGGAGTCGCCCACGGGGGGGGCGGGTCACCGCTGCGGGGCCCAGGTCGATCCGATCGGTGCGATTCGGCGTCGGCTCGGGCCAGCTCGATCCGATCCGATTCCGAGGCCCCTGCGATCCGATCCGGCCCGACGCTTGCGTATGGTGCTGCTGTGCGTCCGGGCGCGGCCGATGCGAGTCGATGCGGACTCCGTGCCGATGCGGCCCGCTTCGACTTGCATGCCGATTCGATCCGACTTCCCGATTCGATGTTGGCTGATCTTGCCTTAAGTCGGGCCTGTCCCTCTACAGGAGGAATATTCAAATATAGTCCAAAAATCGCCTTTTTGACCATGTTGGAGCACTTGTTGGGTATTTGTTTTTCCCTACCTAGGCTCTGCCTAGAGGGTTCTTACTCTCTTTCTTAAAGGGGCCAGGCAGTGCACACCGCCCCGGGCGGTTCCCCCAGTATCCGCCCCGCGGTTCCCCCAGTTACGTCCCCTTAGCTTAGCGTTTCTTATCTCATCTTAGCTTAGCTTATTTCATCTTAGCTTAGCTTAGCTTCATCTTAGCCCAGGTTTATCTTAGCTTAGCTTACCTTCATCTTAGCTTCGCTGAGCTTTAGCATAGCAGAGCACAGCATAGCATAGCATAGCGTAGCATAGCATAGCGCAGCACATCATATCAGAGCATAGCCCAGCATAGCATAGCATAGCGTCGCATAGAATAGCATAGCATAGCGCAGCACAGCACAGCACAGCACAGCATAGCACAGCGCAGCATAGCATAGCATAGCATAGCATAGCATAGCATAGCATAGCATAGCATAGCAGTTCATATCTTAGCATATCATAGCATAACATATCATAGCTTAGCATAGCATAGCATAGCACAGCGCAGCATGATATCTCACAGCATCGCATATCACATCATAGCATAGCATAGCGCAGCATAGCATGGCATAGCATAGCAACTAATGCTGCTTTCCTAGGGGCTCCAACTTCTAGGTAGGGTCGCACTGGGGTCATTTATTTTTCGTCGAACATCCCCCTGTAGGGGGACAGGCCCGACTTAAATCTTGCCGCTGCATCCAGACTTCTCCGCGTCGCCGGGCGAAAACAGCGGCGGCAGGCTCGGGGCGATGTGTTCGGCCTCCAGGGGCCCACGCCGTGCCCTGGGAGCTTCCACGCGCGGGGTGGGGCAGCGTTGTGAGTCAGCCATGTGCAGAGGGTCGGGGGCGGCAAAGAAGGGGGTGATGACTAGGGGGGGTGGATGTGGGCCATGATATTTTCCCCGATATGGCGCCTCTTCTTATTTCATTACGTCGCTGGCCCCCCCGCTGGGCCGCGCACATGCCGCCGGTCATGATTTGCACGCCCCCCTCTTGGACACCCCCCTCTTGGCCGCTCCCGAGAGGGGGGCAGGGGGAGGGGGGAAGGCTGTTCTGAGGCACCCCTGCTTCTTGGAAGGCGCGGGGCTTGCCTGTAGACGTAGGGCCGGCGCCTTCTAAGATGCGGCCTGCTTCCAGGCAGCCTGCTTGTAGGAAGCCTCCCCCCTCCCTCCGATGTGGGCAAACGACTTCCATGCCCCCCCTCCCGGGGGGGGGCCCCTGATTCTCTTGAAGGGCGAGGCCAACCAAATCCGGGGGTCGGACATGCTCTTTCAACAGTCCCGCCCCAAATCTTTTTCTACCTAACATCGAAGACTGGTAGGTTTCTAGTGGTGTCAAAAGAGAGCAGCACATTACTTCAACATTACTGCAACATTACTCCACAGGGGGGTCTGGGCAGCCGTGGGGGGCAGTTGGGGGGGAGTTGGGGGGCTGTTGGGGTTTGCCGGCGGGGATCGTTTTTCGCATACAGTCACACACTTCGTGCCCACTTCGTGCTCTTCGATTTCCCAGAACTCCATTCCCGGCCACATTTTGGATGCCCGGAGCCAACTGTAGGCCACTTCGTGCTCTTCGATTTCCCAGAACTCCATTCCCGGGCCACATTTTGGATGCCCGGAGCCAACTGTAGGCCACTTCGTGCTCTTCGATTTCCCAGAACTCCACATTTTGAAGGGCCACTTCGTGCTCTTCAGTTCCCAGAACTCCATTCCCGGGCCACACCCGGAGCCAACTGTAGGCCACTTCGTGCTCTTCGAATTTCCCAGAACTCCATTCCCGGGCCACATTTTGAATGCCCGGAGCCAACTGTAGGCCACTTCGTGCTCTTCGAGTTCCCAGAACTCCATTCCCGGGCCACATTTTGAATGCTGAGGCAGGCTGAGCTGAGGCTGAGGCAGGCTGAGGCTGAGGCAGGCTGAGGCTGAGGCCGAGGCTGAAGGCAGACTGAGGCTGAGGCTGAAGCAGGCTGAGGCTGAGGCTGAGGCAGGCTGAGGCTGAGGCTGAGGCAGGCTGATGCTGAGGCAGGCTGAGGCTGAGGCTGAGGCTGATGCAGGCTGAGGCTGAGGCAGGCTGAGGCTGAGGCCGAGGCTGAAGGCAGACTGAGGCTGAGGCTGAAGCAGGCTGAGGCTGAGGCTGAGGCAGGCTGAGGCTGAGGCAGGCTGAGGCTGAGGCTGAGGCAGGCTGAGGCTGAGGCTGAGGCTGAGGCTGAGGCTGAGGCTGATGCAGGCTGAGGCTGAGGCAGGCTGAGGCTGAGGCCGAGGCTGAAGGCAGACTGAGGCTGAGGCTGAAGCAGGCTGAGGCTGAGGCTGAGGCAGGCTGAGGCTGAGGCTGAGGCAGGCTGATGCTGAGGCAGGCTGAGGCTGAGGCTGAGGCTGATGCTGCAGGCTGAGGCTGAGGCAGGCTGAGGCTGAGGCCGAGGCTGAAGGCAGACTGAGGCTGAGGCTGAAGCAGGCTGAGGCTGAGGCTGAGGCTGAGGCAGGCTGAGGCTGAGGCTGAGGCAGGCTGATGCTGAGGCAGGCTGAGGCTGAGGCTGAGGCTGAAGGCTGAGGCAGGCTGAGGCTGAAGGCAGACTGAGGCTGAGGCTGAAGCAGGCTGAGGCTGAGGCGGCAGGCTGAGGCTGAGGCTGAGGCAGGCTGAGGCTGAGGCAGGCTGAGGCTGAGGCTGAGGCTGATGCAGGCTGAGGCTGAGGCAGGCTGAGGCTGAGGCCGAGGCTGAAGGCAGACTGAGGCTGAGGCTGAAGCAGGCTGAGGCTGAGGCTGAGGCAGGCTGAGGCTGAGGCAGGCTGAGGCTGAGGCAGGCTGAGGCTAAGGCTGAGGCTGATGCAGGCTGAGGCTGCGGCAGGCTGAGGCTGAGGCGGAGGCTGAAGGCAGACTGAGGCTGAGGCTGAAGCAGGCTGAGGCTGAGGCTGAGGCAGGCTGAGGCTGAGGCTGAGGCAGGCTGAGGCTGAGGCAGGCTGAGGCCGAGGCCGAGGCTGAGGCAGACTGAGGCTGAGGCTGAAGCAGGCTGAGGCTGAGGCTGAGGCAGGCAGGCTGAGGCTGAGGCTGAGGCAGGCTGATGCTGAGGCAGGCTGAGGCTGAGGCTGAGGCTGATGCAGGCTGAGGCTGAGGCAGGCTGAGGCTGAGGCCGAGGCTGAAGGCAGACTGAGGCTGAGGCTGAAGCAGGCTGAGGCTGAGGCTGAGGCAGGCTGAGGCTGAGGCTGAGGCAGGCTGATGCTGAGGCAGGCTGAGGCTGAGGCTGAGGCTGATGCAGGCTGAGGCTGAGGCAGGCTGAGGCTGAGGCCGAGGCTGAAGGCAGACTGATGCTGAGGCTGAAGCAGGCTGAGGCTGAGGCTGAGGCAGGCTGAGGCTGAGGCAGGCTGAGGCTGAGGCTGAGGCAGGCTGAGGCTGAGGCTGTGACTGCGACTGCCGTTGCCACTGCGACTGTCATCGCGAATGCGACTACGACTGCGAGAACAGCAGAATTCTACAACTGGATTCTCATCCGAATCTTAAGGGGAATGCTTCCAGATGTGCTCCTACACATCGATGTTAGGTTGCTTTGCCGGGATATTTTTTTTATCGCTTGCTTACATTGCGCGCCGCCATGCGAACAAATCATGGCGTCGGGTGTCCAGTACAATCGGGGCCCTGAAGAAGGAACCCTTTTCGTTGGGGAGGGGCTCCGTGTTCCTTAAGTGTTTCATAGCTTGCCTCTGGTTTTCCTTGTGTTCTCGATGGGAAATCGAAGTTTAACTTGTGGAGAAAAGGGGCCTCGTTCCTTATTTAGGGTTCCTTAGGTCAACGCCCCGACTGCATCAGGAAGTGCCACGAGGGGCCCACTGCAGCGCACAGCGCGCTCCAGGAAGCGCGCCGCGCCCTCCAGGAGAGGCGGGAGAGGCTGGCCTCTCTCTCTCTCTCCTTCGGCGGTGGGCGGCGGAGGGACGACGGCGGTAGCCAGCGGACACCAGTGGGCACTCGGCACTTTTTTGTTGGCTTCGGGGCTTCCGTCGAGCACGCGGGAGCTTGTCGGGGGCGGGAAAAAGGGGGGGTGACGACCAGGGGGGGTGGATATCATGGCGGGGGCCATGATAGTTCCCCAGATTTCATGGCGCCTCTTCTTGTCTCATTGCGTCCCCAGCCCCCCCCCCTTGGGCCGCGCACATGCCGCCTGTCATGATTTGCACGCCCCCCTCTTGGACACCCCGCTCTTGGCCGCTCCCGAACTCGGGCTCGCCGACCACTCTCGACGGGCCCGTCCTGGATCCTGGCGGTCCAGTCTTCCCGCGGGGCGCCTGCGGCGGGGGCTCGCCTCGGGCTGCAGGTCGGGCCTCGCCACTTCCGTGGGCGGCCTTCTCGGGCCAGCTCGAGTGTCCCCCGAGCCCGAGGCTCGCGTCTCCCCGATCCTGGGGCGGGTCGGACCTCGCCACTTCTGTGGGCGGCCTCCTCGGGCCAGCCCGAGTGTCCCCCGAGCCCGAGGCTCGCGTCGCCCCGATCCCGGGGCGGGGCCAGCCGCGCAGCGACGGGCGCCGCCGCCTCCTCTTCCAGAGCCGACGGGCCGGGGGGGCCCCGCCCGCCGGCTCGGCGGCGCGCGCCCCCGCGCCGCCCGCCGCCGGAGGTCTGGCCGAGGGCCTGCTGCTGCTGGGCGCGGGCGACCTCGAGGGGCCGCTGGCGGCTGCCGCGGAGGCCGCCCCGCGCCCGCCGCGCCTGCCAGCGGCTGCCCGTCGCCGCCGCCGCCGCCGCCGCCAGCAGCCGCCGCGGCTGCCGACGGCTGCCGTGGCGGCCGCCGCCGCCGCGGCTGCCGCTGGAGCTCGTCCAGGGGGCGCAAAGCGGCTGGAGGCGGCACCCGTCCTCCCCGTGCCCCCCGGAGTAGGCCCCGCGCAGAGGGGGCTCTGGGGGAGGGGGGGAGGGCTTCTCAGAGGCGCCCTGCTGCTGCGGAGGCGCGGGCCTCGCCCGCAGAGGTGAGGCCGGCGCCTTCTGAGAGGCAGCCTCCTTCGAAGAAGCCTCCCCCCCTCCCCCTATAGAGTTACTCCCCCCTCTGCGCGCCGCGCCCCCGAGCCCAAGGGGGGCAGTGGTGGCTCTGGCCCCCGGGGGAGGGGCGCGGCAGCGTCGGGCAGCCCCGACGGCGGGGGACGCGTCGGCCCCGGGGATGCTCGCTCGGAGGGCCTCGGCTGGGTGGGGACCGGCTGCACGTATCGAGGAGACAGAAGCGCCATAGACATGAGCTTTCGGCGCTCCGCGCGGATTTCTTGGATCCGCGCTGGGCTTTCCCCCCGCGGCGCCTCCGGCGCCGCCCCTGGCGCGCTCCGCGCGCCAGGGAGGGGGGTCCAGCGCAGATCCAGGAAATCCGCGCGGAGCGCCAAGAGTTTCTGTTTGTGCCGTTGTGTCTTCTATCGTGCGAGCGACCTCTCGCTGGGGTGACCTTCGCTGCGGGCCCGTTGGGGTCCCCCGATGGGCGAGTGCGATGCGGCAGGTGCGCCTTGCGCGCTCGGGTTTGGCCCCTCCGCGGCTCCCCGAGCGCCGCCCACCAGAGGTCGCTCTCTTGCCCAGGGCCACTCTTGCGTGTGGCCGAGGGGAGCGGGCATCGACGGGGGAGCGCGGCGAGATGCGTTCCCATGTCGTTTTGGGGCGCCCGCCAGAGACACTTCCCTCTCTTGTCGGCCCCGAGGTGTGAGCCCCGCCCCCACGCTGCCGCACTGCTCTGCGTGGGCGGTGGGATGCGGCAGCTGTAAGGATGGTGGAAATGCACAACCCCCACGTCGCCACAGTTAGTCTCGTTTTATCTGCCTGCGACCGCAGCAGGGTGATGTATACACTGCAGCCTCACTCCTAGGGCCACTTCTACGACCCCTTTAAGGGGGGAGCATTGGCGCGCCTGGTTCCCGGGCCTCCCCAGCGGGGCCACAATACGTGGGGTCAGAGGATCGCGACTCGTCGCCGGTGCACGGGTGATGCGGATGCGGCGTGATCCGGAACCCGCGTGTTTCCATCCCGATTTTCAAGTGCAAGCTCCTCGGCACCGCCTGCTCCCCGGGCCCCGCCATCTGGCCGCCTGAGGCCCCGCCCGCCTGTGCCCTGTCTCCCCAATTAGAGCTTTGCGTAGACCGCCTAGTTTTTAGCGGAAGAGGTTCGCTCTCGCCCCGCCGATCAAAAAAGTTTCCATCCCGATATCGCCAGTGCACCGTCGACGCGTCCGCGCTGCGCTGCGAGCCCGTCTTTTCTGGTCCCACTTGGGAGGCCTCCACCGCTCGTCGCCATGAAGGGAAGGGGTCCTGAGTGAACAGTGGGGAAGTGATCCCAGCCCCCCCACAACAACAGTGGATTTTGTATGTCAGCGTTTTGCAATTACGGCGAGTGTGCGTCAGTGAAGCGCCCTGTACGCGAGGCCACTTCCAGCTGCCGCAGGGCGGGGAGGGCCCGCGCGCGCGGTCTAGTTTCAGGAGGGGAAGAAACACACAGACACAATCAATCGTCGATTCCCCAGAAAATATGGGAAATTTTGGAAGTGGGGGGGAAGACAAAAACCCAGAACATATGGAAAAATATGGGGGAATATTTATGTTTGTTGTGTGTATTCATTTGTGTATCCCAGGGCCCCTTCATAGTTGATCTGAAGTTCCTCATGTCGGGGGCGGGGGTCGGTGTTCATGCGTTCGCTGAGGGCACCTGGGCCTTCATTCCGAGGCTTCTCCAACGGACCGTGCCTTCATCCCGGGCAGTTTTTCGGCGCTCCGGGGGCCCTCGGAGGGCCCCGCGGAGCTCGCAGGCGGCGATGCGGTCTCCAGGGCCACTTTCCCCTCCCGGCCCGCTTGGAGGCCCATGCCAGGACACACCCCCTGCATGCCTCCAGGGTGCCCTGGGTTTCTTGGGTCTCGATGGTTGTGCTGTGGACGGCGTGACGTTCCCACACCAGACATCCATGGACGTCCTGGGGTCTCAGGGTTGGGTTTCTCGTGGACGGTCTCTTGTGGTCGAGCCTCTACTGCAAGCTCGCTCCTCTTCTCCCCCCTCTGTCCCCTCGCCCCGAGGCGCCTCTGGCCCCGTGGCCTCCTGCCAGCGCCCGCCCGAGCGAGCGCCCGAAGCCTTCGGGCCGCGTCGCGCCTGCCCGACCGCCCCGCCCCCGGCGCCTTGGCCGCCGCGTGGTCGGGAGTCGGGGTCAGTGCAAGCTCGGCCACGCGCAGAGGGGGGTGGGGGGGGAGGGGGGGGGAAGGCTTCATAGAAGCACCCCTGCTTCTCAGAAGGCGCGGTCCTGATGTATAGATGTAAGGCCGCCGCCTTCTACGAAGCAGCCTCCTTCTAAGAAGCCCTCCCCCCTCCCCCCCCACCCCCTTGTGCGCGCCGCCAAGCGTGGTCGGGAGTCGGGCTCAGTGCAAGCGGGCGTCCGCCAGAGCGCCAGACTCTGCAGGCTCCTGCAGAGCCAGGGGCGCAGGGCCCCCGCGGGAGGGCGCGGGCTCCCGCAGGCCTCTGGCAGGCTCCTGCCAGGCCCGGCTGGCCCAGGCCTGGATCGACCTGGGCCAGTATAGGTCCCCCGAGGTGGAAGGTCGTGACCTCCGGAGGCGCACGGGGCGTTCCAGGAGGGGTCCCGCGCCATCGAGGGTCGCCGGCGATGCTCTCACCCAGCCGCGGACGTGTTTCGACGAAACATGGGGCCGCTCAGAGCAGGGAAGGGACACCCTGGGATGCACTCCAAGGGGGGATCTCGGACGCACCCTCATTCAGGATGGACGCCCCCCCCATCGTATATCCCAGGGTTGGGCCCCGAGTGTCAGGTCCACTCGAAAGCCTCCCAAAGCCTGGGATGGGGGTCGGCATATCCCCTGTAAGAGGGATCGAGGGCAGCTGACATGTCTCTCTTTCTCTTTCTCTCGGTGGAAGCTGCCGCAGGGTGCCGCGGAGGCGGCTACGCCTGCGGAGGGCGGGCGGGAGCAGGCGGAAGTAGAGAGTTGGGGCGTCGGTATTTTTTGATCTGAGACTTTCTTCGGATTCGGGCGAATGGGTCCTTTGCACAGGTCGAAGAAGCAAAAACGGCATACACATAAACTTTCGGCGCTCCGCGCGGATTTCTTGGATCCGCGCGGAGCGCCAAAAGTCTATGTGTATGGTGTTTTGTTTAATAAGCAAGGGCATCAGACATGTGCGCAGTAGTTCGTGCAATCATTCGTGCGGGATGCGCACGTCGTTCGATTGCAGCACGCGGCTGCCGCGCGCCATTCGCCACAGGATGAACTGTTGCATTCTTCTGGCTACCCCATGTTGCGAGACCCCACGTTGCCTAGAACCTGCTTCCGGAGTGGGACATCCGTGCCCGCCGGGATCTGCGGCCCCCTCCGCTCTCTTTCCGCCGGTGCCGACGTTCCTGGTGCAGCGCCAGGCGGCGAAGGGTAGCAGACGCGAAGGGGCTGGTGGGCCCCAGTGAAGATGCGTGCCCACCTCCATCACCTTCGGGATGCTGGAGCCGGCGTCCAGGGGGAGCGCGCCGACTTCGGCGAGATATGGGCCTAACGCCAGATGGTCCCCCGTCTTCGTCGCTTCGAACGCCCCCGACGTCGATCGTGGCATCCCCATGCGTCGGCATGCTGCCCACACCAGGAGCAATAGCTCTTGTGCCAGTGGCAGGTGGCACATCGTCAAGCCTCACCAGCCTCGAACTTGTCCCCATCCCTGAGATTGACACGCCGAAAGGCGATGACGATCTTAGGGATGCGCCCTCAGAGAATACGGGAATCCCTGAGATTGGCATCGTGATGAGGAGATGCCCAGCATAGGGACAGGGATATGCTCCAGGCTGGTAAAAGCCGACATGGGACACGGCCCACGTTCCAACCTTCAGGCGGACCTGTCGAGAGACTTCGTTCAGCGCACCAGAGGCGCTGGCCGTGGTCCAGGGGTCGGCGGCAGGCGAGGTGGGGGGAAGCTGGGAGGCTCGGACGCCCCCCGACCTCCCGAGACGCTTCCCGACCTCCCCCCGAAGACAGAGAGAGAGAGCTCCTCGGAGGGCGCGGGGGCTTCTTGGAGAGGCCCCGCCGCCCTCTGAGCAGGCCTCGCCCCTCTCACCTCCCCCCCGCGATCGTCCCGCCGCCCTCTGAGCAGGCCTCGCCCCTCTCACCTCCCCCCCGCGATCGTCCCGCCGCCCTCTGAGCAGGCCTCGCCCCTCTCACCTCCCCCCCGCGATCGCTCGCCGCCGGCGGGCGGGGACGGGGCCCCCCTCACGGCGCAGCGCAGAGGGGACGGCGCTCTGCCGCCTCGCTCGCCCCGCCCTCGCCGCGCCCTCGCCAGCAGGAGCTCTTCACGGGGGGGGTGGCCGCCGGCGAGCCGAGCGCCGGCCTCCCTTCCCGGACCAGACCCGTGGGGCCCCACGCCGACGGCGCGGGTGAGATCGCCTGCGGTGTGGCTCGGCTGGGCTGGAGGAGGGGCCGTCCATCTCCAGCAAGCAGTCTCGTCTCCGGCTTTCCGCTGCTGTTTTGCAGGAGGGGGGGGGGGCCGTCCGAATTCGCGCACCCCACTGCGTGTTCCGTGCGAGAGTCGTCGGGTTCGTCAGGCAGTCTCCAACAGTTCAGTTCAGATTCGCACTATGCAGGCGATGATGCAAACTGAAGTGCGTGTCAACTGAGCACCTCGCCGTGACGAGGACTCGTGTTGAATGCTAATCTTCTCGCTGAGCTTGCAGTGCACCCCTATTATTTGCA